CATGAAATAAGATCTTAGTCCTCAATCTTGAAGTAAGATCTTATTGTCCTAATCATGAAATAAGATCTTATTGTCCTAATCATGAAAAAAGATCTTAGTCCTCAATCATGAAGTAAGATCTTAGTCCTCAATCTTGAAGTAAGATCTTAGTTCTCAATCTTGAAGTAAGATCTTAGTCCTCAATCTTGAAGTAAGATCTTAGTCCTCAATCTTGAAGTAAGATCTTAGTCCTCAATCTTGAAGTAAGATCTTAGTCCTCAATCTTGAAGTAAGATCTTAGTCCTCAATCTTGAAGTAAGATCTGATTGTCCTAAACATGAAATAAGATCTTAGTCCTCAATCTTGAAGTAAGATCTTATTGTCCTAAACATGAAATGAGTGACATATAAAATAGCTACCCTACAAATCGGTACTTCAGTTTCAATGAACTTACGATCAACTGCTGTGAAATCGGTACTTCAGTTTCAATGTACTTACGATCAACTGCTGTGCCTCCTGTCTCTCACTTGGTGGGAGTCCGTCTCCCCCCCCCCACCCAACACCCCCCACCCACAATCACGTCATTATGGTCAACAAATTCTACAGCACGTTCCTTCAGACACAGCAAGGTGGCCTCAAGTTTGATACCGGTACCGCCAACACAGAGGTGGTACGTCGCCTGGTCGTACGTCACCTGTGATGTTGACAGGACGATATGGACGTCGCCTGTGATGTTGCCAGGACGATATGGACGTCACCTGTGATGTTGACAGGACGATATGGACGTCGCCTGTGATGTTGACAGGACGATATGGACGTTACCTGTGATGTTGACAGGACGATATGGACGTCGTCTGTGATGTTGACAGGACGATATGGACGTCACCTGTGATTTGTTGGGACGATATGGACGTCACCTGTGATGTTGACAGGACGATATGGACGTCGCCTGTGATGTTGACAGGACGATATGGACCAACTCGTGTCGACATTTGACAAATCATGTCATGCGTCTTCTGTTTCCTCTTGCTTTCTTATAGTACATAGACGGCTACGTTAATTGAACTAATAGAATACCACCCTTTAGATCAGTGGTTCTCAATCTTTCTAGCGCCGCGACACTTTAATACAATTCTTTATATTAAGTTGACCCCCAACCTAAAATTATTTTCTTTGCTACTTCATAAATATATGTTTTCCGATGGGCTTAGGTGACCCCTGTGCAAGGGTCGTTCGACCCCCCCTCCCCCCCCCCCTCCCCCCAAAGGGATCGCGACTCACAGGTTGAGAACCGCTGCTTTGAATGCATACTTGGGGGTTGTTAAATAAGCGCAATTGTTTTGAAATAAGTGCATCTGTTGTTAAATCAGTATAAATATTGAGATAACACAGCTACCAGTGGATTCTCTCTTAACTAATAACCTTAACTCTCATTTTTTTTTCTGGCAGATTTACTTCGCATTTTCACATTATTTAAATAAAAATTAATGTCAATGCTATTATGTGTTTTTATTTTTAAAAAAAGGGAAATTTTAATGCGGTTTCAACAGTGCTAGGAGGCATATGCTTTCTTTTTGATCAAGAGAAACTTCTTGGCCACTACTAATATTTTTACGTTCTTTAAGTTGTTTAATGGTAAAAGTAATAGGTAGGATTTAAATGTAATAGTAGTGGTTAGGATTTAAATGTAAGAGTAATGGTTAGGATTTAAATGTAAGAGTAATGGTTAGGATTTAAATGTAAGAGTAATGGTTAGGATTTAAATGTAAGAGTAATGGTTAGGATTTAAATGTAAGAGTAATGGTTAGGATTTAAATGTAAGAGTAATGGTTAGGATTTAAATGTAAGAGTAATATGTATAATTAAAATGTAATAGTAAAAGGTGGAATTTAAATGTATTTTTTTGTAAAATTTAAGGTTACATTAATGTTTTTGTTTTTGCTGAAGTAGCTATTTGGCCGAAACGTTAAAATTTGTATTTTTTCTTATATCTAAAGCTTCCATAAACTGTTTTATTTTCACAAATTTTTTTGTCTCATTAATTTAACCCCCGTAAGTTGGGGCACTTTGTTTTAACGAGAATTCATTCCCAAACATGCGTGTCATAAATGAATTATGTACGGTCGTTGGAGTCGGCGCAGTCTACGTCCTCTTCAAGTGTTGACGTTTGCTTAGGTGGGATAGCCTTACTGCCTGAAATACAACTCGACTTGAAGGTGGCCTCTTCTGTTGTTAATTTAGTCACGCACCCCCGCCCATATTGTTCATCAAAGACACTTGACAAGCTACCAAACAAGATTGATACAGATTCCAACCAGGAATTGTATGATCTATATCAGGACCCCACGCTAGTAGCAGAAATAAAAAAGGGGCAGGATGCGCTGGGCAGGATACTTAGAAATAATGCCCAGTGACAGAGGAGTGAAGAGGGTGCACCACTAAAACCACAGAGGAGAAAATGCTCAAATGCAGACCTAGGCTTAGATGGATGTATGATGTGGAAAAAGATCTACATCAGCTGGGAACCCACGCATGGAAAAAAAAAAGCATTAGTTGGGTCTGAGTGGAAGGAAGTGGTGAGATGGGCCAAAGCCCTACATTCTTCTGTAGCCCCACAGGGATGGAGGGAATGGAAAGAACGCTACCCAAGACGCAAGGACGATGCTTGATGAGCTACCAAACTGGAGTGATGCAGAATCCTCTCTATAATGTCTGATTGAGATTGGAGTTTCAATTGATGATGTTTTAATGCTTTGATCGATTTAGTCATCTGAAAATATTCATGGACTAATCTACACATCATTCTGTTAAAAACTCTTTGTCATTTTTAGATTACACTGCACAAATAAACGACCTCTGATAGACCCAATAATTAACTGGTTTCTCTACTCTTTCCTCTGAGCTGGCATAAAAGAGTGTAGACTCCCCATGAGGTGAGCTGGGGCATGGAATTTCAATCTGTCAAGTGCCAGACATTGTCAGTCACCAGAAGTAGTACCCGTCGACACCACCCTTATGAACTGCATGGCCATACGCTTGAGCCGGTTTCCTCCGTAAGGTACCTCGTTGTTACTATTCCAACAGAGGTCCGCTGGGATGAGCATATTAACAATGTGGGCCACCAGCAAAACAAGACCCTAGGCCAAATCTAACGGTCGGCAGCTCTATTTGTCCGACCGCTTTTAGATTACGCATCTTCAGACTGGGACCCATTCACCCTAGAGGTGCATCGACAGGTTGGAGGCGGTCCAGCGACGGACAGTACGCGTTGTCCTAAACCGCTACAGGGACACCCCCCTCCCTCAAGTGTTGGCAGCACGCTGGAAACACTGGGCTGGTCACCATTGGAGGAACGACGACGATTATCCAGGCTCTCCATGATGTTCAAAATTTAAAAAAAAAATAGGCTGGTCCACTGCTCCAGCATTAAGCAGAAACTCGCCGCTCTCCCTCCTAGACATCGATGAGACCATGACAGGCAGTTCCGGCTCATGACAGCAAGAACACAGTACAGTAACTGCTCATTCCTGCCCAAGACTATCAGTTAATGGAACAAGCTTCCAGGAGGAACAGTGGAAGCGAAATCACTTGACGCATTTGCGCCCATTGCCTCTTGCCAACCAACCCCCAGTTCTTAGTACCATCGCTGGGTATCCCTTGTCAGAGTATCCTCTTCTAAACCATGTGCAGAGACTTTGCGAACCCCCTCTACAAACATAGGAGCCAGAATGATCAAATCCATTGATCGTGGGCCCTCAACATAAAGAATAATTATATATATATATATATATATATATTAGCAACTTTCGATAGTTCTGAATGACAGTAAATACTTTTAGAGCTTTCAAAATAGTTTGTCCATTTTTGATTTTACTAGAGCACAGGTTCCCAACCCATGGAGAGTTACCTCAAATTGAGTTGCGAAGGGATTTCTCGGAATCACCGGCTGAAAAAAAGACACACACACACAAAAAACAACAAAACAACAACAATAATAACAAAACAAACTCCGAATAATTCTCATCTTTTTAAAATCCTTTATATTAACTTCACTTTTGTTCGTGTGTTTAGAGCAAACTCTTCGGACAACTAATTTGCCTCACTTCCAATCATCTTACCGAAGTGAAACTTGGCAGATAGACTCGTTGCCGATGACAATACACTCCATCAAATCTGCAGCCTACCCCCTCCCACCAACCACCAAAAAATCAGGATTTTCCTGTTTTTCAGTGGGAAGATGAATGAAATATGATTTGTTCCATGTGTACATGTGTTTGGTGTGGAGATTAATTTTATAGCGGTTGCTATGTTATTTCTATTTGTGAGGTTTTGGGTACGCAATAAAAAAATAATATGTATTTTTGAAAGGGAAAATGAAGGAAATATGAAATGTGTTTTCGTCAGAAATTAACCTATTAACATAAACACTTCTTAATGAATGATACATAACTGAAAACAAAAATGCATATAAAGGATTTATTTCATTTATACGAACAACTTTTTTTTTAAAGGGTGGTTTAATTATTCGGTGTCTTTAAGTTTTTGGTTACAAGTTACAATGTTAATTTTAGAATAAAATAATATGTTTTAAATTATAATTATAGTACACTGAAAATTCTAGATTTAATATCTTTTCATTACCAAGAATTAACTCTATTTAAAAAAGCCTATTTTACCTGTATATCGTTGTACAATGTAAGGCAGAAAAGTATGGGTTAGCCTACATAAATGAAGTGGTCGTGACTTGCAATGCTTGAGAACCTGTGTACCAGAGCTTCTGAGCATAATAGTAAAATAATTCAGGGCAGTTAACAAAATTTTATAGATCCTGACTTATAGCGTGAACATTGTGACATATCTCAGTAATATCTGCAGTCTCTCTCTTTCTCAACTATTAAAAAAAAAAATACGGTCGCATTTTCTGGTTTTTAAATGCTTAAAATATATATTTATTTCCGTGTCTTATTCTGTTAACCCATTTTTTGTTTTCTTCATTTTATTTTTAACTGCTATGTGATGCCATATTACTAAAAATAGAAAGCCTGAAGCAACAGCGTATTTTGTTTTTGTGATTTGTTCACTTTAGATTGAATTTCGTAACCTTCAGCTTACTGGGTTACCCATTACATATTGAATATATACACATATAAAGGTGGGGACATTTTGTATCGTCTCAGTATTCCTTTTTTATGTGGGTGCTAATGATGATATCAAATCTCCGAACTAAACTCATAATTTATTGTTACTGTTACCGACTCGACTGTTAGTGTTAGATCTACTGTACTATGTCAGACTATGTGTTGTAACTTTCTTACATTTCAGTCACAGTCAGTTGGTTAACAAATGACAAAATTTAATTAGTAATTAGATTGCCCAAAAATATCAAGAAAATAAGGGGCCATTCATAGGGGGGGAGGGGGGTCAGATTTGTGTGAAGGGGGGGAAGGGGGGCCTCAAGCAATGTGACGTCACATGAAAAGGGGGATGCTGTAGTCAAGAATTTCATTTATTAACACTAAATTACAGACATTTTTAACATTATTTTTACAAAAAAACAAACAATTATAACTATTTTATTTAAAAACTACTATCACTGAGAGAATCGGTACAGTAGGAATGCGAGGTCGAAGAATGGCCTCAGATCAAGTTATAGGATGCAGAGTAGTGGAGAATCAGAATGTAGTTATAATGACAGTCATGAGACTTTATGGCTAAATCTGGACAGGGGAAGTGGGATGGAGCAGGAAAAAAAAGTTTGCGGCGGGGTGGGGGTTATCTTAGTAAATGCTCTAGGGCAGGGATTCTTAACCTTTTTGCAGCGCCGCAGGGCCACTCCGTTTTAAACACCACCCCCCAACCGTATAAATTATATTGTAATCAAATTTAAAATAATTAAATAATTTAGTTATCGTGGTTTTATTTCTTTAATTAACTTTTTATAAACAGGGGAAAAAGTTACTAATACACGCAATGTGCCAATGAAATTCAGCACTGACAGCTGCTAATCAAAATCCATGAAAACTTGCATTTAAAAAAAAAAAATTTAAAGCAGCAACAACAAGCAATGGCAGCAAATACAATCAGTGGCGTAGCTAGGTATGGTGTCACCTGGCCCGGTAAGCTCGTGGTGTCACCCCCATCCCATTTTTTCACAATCTATTTCTTCTTGTTAAACTTAGTCCACAGTATGAAAAATAAAAGAACAAAAACAAATTAAATGAAGATCAGGAGGTAAATGTATTTCAGAACTGTAACTTGTACTTAGAATCACCCATTGTTGTCAAAGGATAGCTCTATTTCTCAGAATTTAGATAAATATAGCTTCCTGTCACTTACAAAAGTAGGTTACCGAACACTACATTCGGCGTTGAAACATGGTCAAAACGGTGTGTTACTGACCTAATAATATGGTAATCTAATTGCCTTGGCATCAACCTTGACATTTTAATATTAATGAAACACGCATTTTATTGGTTACATGGGTGGAAAATGAATGTGTCATCTGTTATCCTTTTATGAATTTCGGTTAGAACGTCAGTGTGTTCTCTGTAATTACGCTATCTTTCAATTTGGTGTCACCCCTTGTGATAGTGTGGACCGGTGCGGTCCGCACCCTCCTAGCTATGCCACTGAATAAAAATTTTTGGTCTTCCACACCTCAAGGCTGGGTAGTTACTTGTACCCCTGGTTATATATATATATAAAAAAAACAAATCTTAGGCTGGGACCTATCAACAATGTTTTCTTATCATTTTAAAATTTAATTTGTTTAGTCAATGTAAACAAAATGATCCTGTCTACCAATGATCCTGTCTACTCTTGCCATCAATAAAGATTATTCCATTCTGAGATGGCGTATAGAAATTAAACTATATTCTCTAAAGTAGCCAGTGGTGTGTTTGGCACATAAGTATATTCTGATGCTCTGGATGTCAAATACTTTCAATTTGATGTGTCAATTGTGGCAGATCTAATTTGAATATGATGTGGCCATTGTGGCCCTTCTAATTTGAATTTGATGTGACCATTGTGGCACTTATAATTTTTATTTAGTTATTGAACTAATTTGCAACTAAAACTAAAGGCCTTAATTTTTTTTTAGTTTCAGATCACAAGATTACAAGTACTGACAAATTAAAGATGAAAACATTTCTTCTTTTATTGGCTGTATTGGGCCTTTGCCTTGGCAGTGCATTTGGACTGTCCCAAAACGAACTAATAAAGAAGTAAGGACTCTTGTATGTTACTACTTGTGAATTTCTCTATGCATGCAAAACTGTTATTGAAGCTTAGTCTGAAGCTACATTAATTTTGGCTTATCTGTAAAATGTTTTAAAAAGTTATTGTAGTTTTTATAAAGTAAAATGCTTCAACAAAGTTTGTTTACATATTTACTCAAGAATAATGAGACATATTTGAAAATTAAAATAATTAGCCTTTAGTATTGCCTTATTTGTAATGAATTTCGTTTATATAAATATAAATATATAAATATATAAATATATATATATATATATATATATATATATTTATATATATTCTCTCCACTGTAATCTATAACAAAGACAAAATCATTCTGGAAATGAAATGAAGAAAAAATTAACAATAATCCATATTTTTTTAGATTTCACTTCTCAATTAAGAATACAATTATAACCATTTGTAATTAACAGTTTGATCCATTGATTCAAAAACACAACACTAAAAATTTCAATCTGAAATGTGGGTTTATGTGAATGTGAGTCACCATGAAATGTGTGAATTTTGTAACTAAGCACTTAACTTACTCCCATGATAAAACATATTTTACCATTCATTATTTGACATATAAAAATTCTGCCCCTTCGATCAGGTCCAAAGCAGACGTGATGAAAATACTCAGAGAGGTTGAAGGAATGGGTGATGTCGGCATGAAATCAGCCAGACAGGAGATGTATGAACTTGAGGGTGAGGCAGATCATATGATGCAGTGTCATGTGATATGATGTCATGTGATACAATGTCATATGATACAATATCATGCGATACTATGTCATTTGATACAATGTCATGGAATTACAATGTTATATGATAACAATGTCATGTGATAACAATCTCATGTGATATGATACAATGTCATGTGATAACAATCTCATGTGATATGATACAATGTCATGTTATTACAATGTGCCACTACATTCTGCATAATGTTGGCAATTTAAGATTTGTATGCAGTGCACAACATACTGTATGTTATTTTATCTTTTTAGTCCATACATCATATTTTTTCCATGGGGCGAGTTTGCTTCGATCTATATTTGTTGGCATGCACTTAAAATTTGATAGAGAATTTCTTCCTCTATGATTTGAGGAGAACGTCCACTGCTTTCATGTCACAAACCCTCACACCGATTGAGAGTGTTCCCTCTAAAACAGGTGTCAGTAACCTATTTTGAGTGAAGAGTCGTTTTATAAATTATATTTGCAAAGAAAATATTTAGGGAGCCGATAGCATGGGCAGATTGGGAAAAGGAATTTGCACACATGACATCGGAAGTAAAGGTTTTGCTTCTAATACTTTTAAATTTATAAACTTCATTAAGAGAAGTGTTATCCTAAAATTAATTAAACCCTCCTAAAATTGAAATGATTTTAAATTAAATATTTAAATATGAAGAGAGCAGCATGCTGACCGGGAACAGCAGGTTGCCTGCTGGCCCCTGCTGCAGCACATTAATTTTCCCTTGTTGTATATGTTACATACTAGTTTACCCTAGATGTATATGTTACAGATTAGTTTACCCTTGATGTATATGTGATGGATTATTTTACTATAAATGTATGTTACAGATTAGTTTACCCTAGATGTATATGTTACAGATTAGTTTACTTACTCTAAATGTATATGTTAAACATTATCTTAGAAACTGAGGCATGGTGTTTTTATTGTCTTCCACATAGACTGGAGGTTGAAGGAGAACTGCTCATGTCAGAACTACACCTGCGGCTGTTGCCTGCACCTTGAGGTTCCACAAATCTCCCTCAATGATACAGGTAGGAACTTTTGTACAGTTCATCTAAGCCTATAGAATGATTTTTAAATGTAGTTTTTGTGATGAAGTAGAAATTTATTTCTCATAAGTGGAACCTGTGAATGGGGGAGTTGAGAGGGAGTGTATGGGGGGGGGGGTTTGGAAGAGAGTGTATGGTGGAAGAGAGTGTATGGTGGAAGAGTGTGTATGGTGGAAGAGAGTGTATGGGGGAAGAGAGTGTATGGTGGAAGAGAGTGTATGGTGGAAGAGAGTGTACGGTGGGGATTTGGGAGATAGAGTGGAGAAAGGGGAGTCAATAAGGGAATAGTTAGGGGGTGAATATGGAAATGGTTTGAAGAAATGAAAGGGGGGGGGGGGGTAGCGATTACAATTTGGGGCTGTGATGGGATGTGTGTGGGAAGGGTGTTGAGGACAGGTGAAGTTTTGTGCTGACGAGGCTAACTCTAAGATTCTGTTGATTTTCAAGGGGCATGCTAATAGTTTGTGATACAACAAAAAGCCAGTGTGATCAACTGTCCTGTCCTACTACAAAGTCTTAAAAATGTTGTTATCATCATATTTGGTATTCAATCCCCAGGCTGTCTTAACTTAACTTACCTTGTTGATGAGTACGGATTTGAATTTTTATTCACTCTGGATGGGAAAATTATCATTGACAAAAAAGTATCAGGTAGGCCCACATTTTAACATGCCTTTATAATTATAATTATAAGAGCATCTTTATAATATTACACATACACTAACGTTTCCATTGAGACCAAATCTCATGCTCGACCATCATAAAATTGAAATGATTTATTTGAAATATTATTGAAGAAATTAAATGGCCTATTTAAAAAAAGTTTAAGTTAAAAGGTTGTAGATAGTAGGGCATAGCATAATTGACACAAATGACTGTACTTTTTTAAAGAATAAATTGACATCAATTTTTCATTGAGATTATTGACAATTTATAGGGCACATAAACACATCACAGGGCCATCCATCAATGATGTCATGTATTAGGGGCCATCCATAAATGATGTCATGTATTAGGGGCCATCCATAAATGATGTCATGTATCTGAGGCCATCCATAAATAATGTCATGTATCAGGGGCCATCCATAAATGATGTTATCGGGGGCCATCCATAAATAATGTCATCAGGGGGCCATCCATAAATGATGTCATGTATCTGGAGCCATCCATAAATGATTTCATGTATCAGGGGCCATCCATAAATGATATCATGTATTTGGGGCCATCCATAAATGATTGTCATCAGGGGGACATCCATGGATGATGTCATCAGGGGCCATCCATAAATGATGTCATCAGGGGCCATCCATAAATGATGTCATGTATTTGGGGCCATCCATGGATGATGACAGGTATCTGGGGCCATCCATAAATAATGTCATCTGGGGCCATCCATAAATAATGTCATCAGGGGCCATCCATAAATGATGTCATGTATCTAAGGTGGAGGGGGGGGGTTATAATGGCCCATCCCTTATTAATGGATGCATCTTTTCTATCTGGCCCTTAAGAATTTATTATAGAAAAAAAATTATCATTCTGTTATAACTTTAAGCCTTGTCCCACTTTGTTCTTCTTGTTTCCCCGACAGTGAAAAACCCACCCCCCATTTGTGCAGCCATCCCTTACATCCACAATCTGGCCAGCCTCTGCTTTCGCTTCTACAACCTGGACTACAAGGAGAAGCAGTTCTCGGGCTGTGCAGCACTCGAGGCTGAGCTCGAAGGGATCGTCGTCAAAAAGATTGAGTTGGGCTGCTTCAAGATCCCGCCTAGTGTTGCTCTTTACCGCACACACAGAATTGCTCAGCCGTAAACACGTGTTCAAAAATAGTTTTTTGGTCGCTCGACAAAAGTTTTTTTTTAAAGAAATAGCTTACATCTAAACTTTGCTTTGACTTTATTGGCTACTGATTTGATAACATTTCTTTTTTAAAAAAAAACTAAAAACTATTGTTATCACAAAAATCTTTTGATTAATATTGAAATTGATAAAAAATTAAGTCAAAGATCCCAGTAACTAACTGAATTCCGAGTAGTTTAAATTCATTTTAAACATCAATGTCAGGTTCATCTCCAGCTTTAAATTTGTTTGATCTTTCTTTTGATTGTATAAAGTAATACACTATGTTATGGACGTTTTTTATCCCGTGGTAATAGTTAAGCTATTTTTCTGTCCCAATATGTTCAAGTCAAACATTCATCTTATCCAGGTTTCATGCTTATGATTATAACTTCGTGCACATGGATTTTTTTTAAAAAGTCAATTTTTTTTTGGTCATGCTCCTATCAGTATATGTATTTTGGTTGCTAAGAGAATACTCTAGTCATCAAACTCAAGTCATCAGACTCAAGTCTTCAGACTCAAGTCATCAGACTCAAGTCATCAGACTCAAGTCATTAGACTGAATTCATCAAACTCAAGTCATCAGACTCAAGTCATCAGAGTCAAGTCATCAGACTATATGAAGTGGCTTTCTATTGTTCACTGCACTCTGAAGCTTCAACTTGTTGGTTTAGCTTTTCGTTGAACTAATATTTTTATGTGTGGAAATTGAGAAGACAGAAGTGCTTTGTATGGACCGCTAAGTGTGGACCGCTAAGTGTGGACCGCTAAGTGTGGACCGCTACGTGTGGACCGCTAAGTGTGGACCGCTAAGTGTGGACCGCTAAGTGTGGACCGCTAAGTGTGGACCGCTACGTGTGGACCGCTACGTGTGGACCGCTAAGTGTGGACCGCTAAGTGTGGACCGCTAAGTGTGGACCGCTACGTGTGGACCGCTAAGTGTGGACCGCTAAGTGTGGTTTTCTTAGATGGGATGCTGGCAAATCTAGGGTCTTTACAAGAAGAAATATTTCACTAGTGTCAGCCTGTTACTTCAGTGTGTCAGCCTGTTACTTCTGTGTGTCAGCCTGTTACTTTGGTGTGTCAGCCTGTTACTTCCATGTGTCAGCCTGTTACTTTGGTGTGTCAGCCTATTACTTCTGTGTGTCAGCCTGTTACTTCATTGTGTCAGCCGGTAACTTAAGTGTTTCAGCCTGTTACTTTGTTGTGTCAGCCTGTTTCTTTGTTGTGTCAGCCATTTACTTCAGTGTGTGAGCCTGTTATCTAATAATTAAACTAAAAGCAAGAAATATGTTTTAATTACTTCAAAAAAATTTGTAAAAAAAATATATATTTTATATTCAATAAAAATGCTGAATCTGCAAGGCAAAAAGATCTAATACATCCGCCGCCGCCGCCGTGTACTTCACCTAACTTGACCCTGTTTGACTCCTTCATACACTGCTGTTCGCCAGCTGGAATGGTGCTCAGCGATGATCTCCCATTGGTTAATTTCTATTTTGGCTTCCCTCATGCTCCTTTCGTAAATTTCCTTAAATACACCCGTGATTGTCCAATATGTCTCGTCCCTACTGCCAACTCTCCATACAGCACATCTTTTGGAATATGGCCTTCCTCCGTTCTCCGTACATGGCCTAACCAGGGAAGACAATTGTTGCTAAGAGAGGAGAACATGCTATGCCTTTTGGCCCGTTCCAAAACCTCTTTGTCCTGCCGTTGAATAAGTAAAATGCAGCGGAGACATCTCTGGTGGAAGCTGCTGAGTCTCTTCTCATGACTGGCATACGTGGTCCACACTTCACTGCCATACGTGGTCCACATTTCACTGCCATACGTGGTCCACATTTCACTGCCATATAGGAGCTTACTGAACACACATGCCTAGTTTTGCCCTTTCATTTAATTCAGGATTTTTTCCACACTTTATTTCCTGCTCATTCAATTCAGATGTCGCTTACGCTGCTTTTGCATTCCTGTTCACCTCGTGGTCAACGGAGAATGACCCAGAGATAGTAGACTCAAGGTATGTAAAATTCTAAACTACCGACAGATTTTCTATCATGATAACATAATGTTTGGAGAGGACTGTGCTTCTTGCATCATGACACTTGCTGTCTTTGGTTTTGTACTAGTTATTTCATGCTGTATATTTTAAGTATACTCAAGTAAGTTTTGATGCATTGATGTTATAGTGGATGAAAAAGAAATCTTCTATTCTCTGCATATTTCAATATTACTTTATTGTTGATTTGCTCATATTTTCTGGATTCACTTCTTTACTTCTACAATGCTATAAAATTGTTTGGGTCAAATACTACCATTTTTGTCCACGTGAACATGGTTCTTGTATTTATATGAAATGGCTTTACACATTTTTGTCTATACATGTTAATAGGAAGAGTATGATTACTTGCAATTCTTCTGATGTGGAAATGAAAGCTCTCACAAAGTTTGATATTTTGATGATTAACTTAAAAAAAAAATATTTTCTTGTTTTAAGAAATAACAACTAAATTGCCATGTGGAAGGGAAAAAAAAAATCAATTTGCATCCAATAATTTTGTCAGTTAATTACTTAGCCACTGTTAAAGTCAATGTTGATCCATTCTTCTATAGGGTAGCACTGTTAATTCAACAGTGACACATGCTGTAGGGTAGCACTTTGGATTCAGCATTGACGCATTATATAACATATCAATGTAGACTCAACAGTGACCCATTCTATAGGGTAGCACTGTTAATTCAACAGTGACCCATTCTATAGGGTAGCACTGTTAATTCAACAGTGACCCATTCTATAGGGTAGCACTGTTAATTCAAGTGACCCATTCTATAGGGTAGCACTGTTAATTCAACAGTGACCCATTCTATAGGGTAGCACTGTTAATTCAACAGTGACCCATTCTATAGGGTAGCACTGTTAATTCAACAGTGACCCATTCTATAGGGTAGCACTGTTAATTCAACAGTGACCCATTCTATAGGGTAGCACTGTTAATTCAACAGTGACCCATTCTATAGGGTAGCACTGTTAATTCAACAGTGACCCATTCTATAGGGTAGCTCTGGTTAAACCATTATAACAACAAACTTTGGTTTTTCAAATGAGTTGTTGGTTCAATATTTCCTGTGATCGTAAAATATTCTACTTTCCGAGCCTTTGATCATGTGCTTACAAAACAACTAGTATTAATGTACATTACATTTCTATTAAATTAGTAATTGTTTACCTAAATTCTTCTTGTTCAAAATTCAATTTTTAAAATGGATCCACACATGCTTGATTTCTTATTTTTATTTGCACAACTAGAGCTATCAAAGAAATGTGTCTTTGTTGCTGTGGGTTGAAATTTCATGTCAAATGCGGACTTACGATTGTTAAAATAAAAATTTCAATTTTTTTTGTTTGTTTATGAACCATTTTAATTTTAACAATCAGCATACTACATTCCATTTTAAAAAAAAGTTTTCATTGATTTTTTTTTTTTTCGGGGGAGGGGGGGGGGGGGGTTTTTTTTTTTATATTTTTTTTTTTTTTTTTTTTTTTTTTTTGGGGGGGGGGTGGGGGAGTGTTTCTATCTTGTCCAGGTTTGTTTCTGTTATCTAATTGGTTACAATGAAGCTCTCTGTCCTTACATAATTATCTAATTGGTAATAATGAAAAGCTCTGTCTTTGCATAATTATCTAAGGCAGTGGGTCTCAATCTTCCTAATGTCGTGACCCTTTACTGCAGTTCCCCATTTTGTGGCGACCCCCCCAATCATAAAATTATTTTTGTTGCTTCTTCATAAACACGTCTTCTCCAATGGTCTTAGGTGACCCCTGTGTTAGGGGTCGATCAACCCCCAAAGAGGTCCCTACCCTCAGGTTGAGAACCGCTGAGCTAAGTGGTTTATAATGAAACTGTCTTTACTTAATTAGCCTCTTTTAGTTAGATTCTATTTTTATGTATATTGCAAAAATTTCATCATGTTGCTTCTTGATATTCTTGTATGTGAACCATGGAATTTAATATTAGTTTTAATGCACTCGAACGAAATCTAAACAAACCGTATAATGTACAATCATCTAAAATGTCACCATCAAATTAAACAAAAATAATTAAGAATCATCTCGAATTTTGCCATCCAATTTAACATAATGATTTACAATTATATTTCTGTTCATCATTTTTTACATTTAGCATTAGAGATTAAAAAAACATTATTATTATTTCGTTGTAATTATCCCAGCACTTATCTTACAGTTCTCCCAGTAAATGTCCCGTCACTTATCTTACAATTCTCCCAGTAAATGTCCCATCACTTATCTTACAGTTCTCCCAGTAAATGTCCCAGCACTTATCTTACAGTGCTCCCAGTAAATGTCCCAGCACTTATCTTACAGTGCTCCCAGTAAATGTCCCAGCACTTATCTTTCAATTCTCCCAGTTACTGTTCAAGGATTTATCTTTCAGTTCTCCCAGTCACTGTCCCAGCACTTATCTTTCAGTTCTCCCAGTCACTGTCCCAGCACTTATCTTTCAGTTCTCCCAGTAGCCAGTAACTGTCCAAGGATTTATCTTTCAAATCTCCCTGTTACTGTCCCAGCACTTATCTTTCAGTTCTCCCAGTTACTGTCCCAGCACTTATCTTTCAGTTCTCCCAGTTACTGTCCGAGCACTTATATTTCAGTTCTCCCAGTTACTGTCCCAGCACTTATCTTTCAGTTCTCCCAGTTACTGTCCCAACACTTATCTTTCAGTTCTCCCAGTTACTGTCCCAGCACTTATCTTTCAGTTCTCCCAGTAGCCAGTGTCTGTCCAAGGATTTATTTTTCAGTTCTCCCATTGCCATTTTTACTTCCAACTGTGCTAGGCAGTTATATTTGTAATCAATCAAATTTGAATCTACTCGGCATAATAATAATGTTCTGATTTAACATCAGTAGAGTAACCTGATATCTTTAGGCTTAAAAAATAGGCACACCATTTTATTGTGCCTGATAACTGATAAGTGGTGGGATAATCAAGATATCATGATTGAAACCCAAAAATCTATGTATTTTCCAATGTTTTATTTCCATCTTTGATGAAATTTTTTGGCTGTGCTTTTCATGTATAAACTGTGCATTGATTGTATAAACTGTGCATTGAATGTATAAACTGTGCATTGAATGTATAAACTGGGCATTGAATGTATAAACTGTGCATTGAATGTATAAATTCATATTATTTCTTTTGTTATGCCACTAGTTTCCTGTTCTTTCGTTTATTTAGCCGCATGCTTCAATTATTTATTGTATCAAAATGTCAATGCTTTGTGTCAATAAAATAATTCGTTTCACCTGTTTGCTCTGGTTTGTTAATCTTGGTTCTGTCTTTAAGACCAGATAGTTGTTTATCATGTACCTGTCCTTAAGACCAGATAGTTGTTTATCATGTACCTGTCCTTAAGACCAGATAGTTGTTTATCATGACCCTGTCCTTAAGACCAGATATTTGTTTATCATGGCCCTGTCCTTAACATCAGATAGTTGTTTATCATGGCCCTGTTATTAAGACCAGATAATTGTTTATCATGGCTCTGTCCTTAAGACCAGATATTTGTTTATCATGGCCCTGTCCTTAACATCAGATAGTTGTTTATCATGGCCCTGTTGTTAAGACCAGATAATTGTTTATCATGGCTCTTTCCTTAAGACCAGATATTTGTTTATCATGGCCCTGTCCTTAAGACCAGATAGTTGTTTATCATGGCCCTGTCCTTAAGACCAGATAATTGTTTATCATGGCCCTGTCCTTAAGACCAGATAGTTGTTTATCATGGCCCTGTCCTTAAGACCAGATAGTTGTTTATCATGGCTCTGTCCTTAAGACCAGATAGTTGATAATTAATTTGGATCGAACTATGTGTATAATATTTTGTCATAATTTGGAACAAATGTGTGATGTTCCGTGACAGTGACATAGTCTCCTGTTTAGCGGGATCATCTTCATTAATAGCCTTCTCCAGTTGTTTCCTTTACGGACCACAGCTCGTTCCATCCACTATTGGAGACAGGTGGTCACTAGTCCCGTGGAGACAGATGGTCACAAGTCCCGTGGAGACAGGTGGTCACAAGTCCCGTGGAGACAGGTGGTTACAAGTCACGTGGAGACAGGTGGTTACAAGTCCCGTGGAGACAGGTGGTCACAAGTCCCGTGGAGACAGGTGGTCACAAGTCCCGTGGAGGCAGGTGGTCACAAGTCCCGTGGCGACAGGTGGTCACAAGTCCCGTGGAGACAGCTGGTCACAAGTCCCGCGGTTCCCGTGCAGACAGGTGGTTACAAGTCACGTGGAGACAGGTGGTCACGAGTCCCGTGGAGACAGGTGGTCACAAGTCCCGTGGAGACAGGTGGTCACAAGTCCCGTGGAGGCAGGTGGTCACAAGTCCCGTGGAGACAGGTGGTCACAAGTCCCGTGGAGACAGCTGGTCACAAGTCCCGCGGAGACAGATGGCCACAAGTTCAGAAGCTCGTTGACTTACCTGTGGCCCAAACGCTCGAATCAAACGAAGAATTATGTCATACGAACCTCCAACACCACCCCCCCCCCTCACACACACCACACCATTTATAGAACTAAACCTTTAAAGAAAAGTCCTGTTTAAGACGAAAGTAAAGAAATATGGCATTTGAACAGTATCAGTTATCTCCAACGCCACCATTAAAAATACACAACAAGAAGAGGACCTACAGTAGATTTGAATGGAAATACGGGTACGTATTGAACAGACAAAAGGAAATTTTAAGAACGCCGCCATGTTATTTTGATCAGACTTTTATTGTGGTTTTTTTGTTTTGTTAAAAAAACAAGTCTTTGCTCACAGAGCCCAATGTTGCGGACACGGCCCAATGGATTACTAATGTCAGAAACCCATGGAGGTAGGCCGTGCCTATGAGTTACGTTAAGTACGTCTAGTGTTGCATGGTCGTAACGTAAAATCTGTGCGTAAAAAGTTGTCTTAAATTAAACGCCCTTCTGCTGTCACAACGCAAGTGATCTATCTCTCAAACAACGCAAGTGATCTATCTCTCAAACGCGCTGTTCACGGCTGTTCAATGGGATGCGTGTGTGTGTGTGGTGTGTTAAGACAAAATTTCTCGTGTTTGAAATACATATGTGGCTAACTTTTCCACGTTTCTATTTTAGCTGTGTGTGTGTGTGTGTGTGTTATTTATGCTCACAAGCGTATGCGCTTTGTAACACTCGTGTGTATGTCATTACGAGGTAACTCAATAATAAGAGCGGTGAACTCCCTTTGATATCTTTTGGTAATGAAATATTTTCATAGTGTTGAAAGTTGAGATAGTAGGGCATTTCTGACTCTATTCAGATCGCAGAACCGGCCCTTGTTTTAAATTGTTCATTGTTAGATTGCTCATGTTTAAATTGCTCGTATTTAAATTGCTCGCCAGTGTTCCATCCTTTCACACCCTCACCCAGTCTATGTCCCTAAACAGTTGATTTAGGAGTTTCAGTTCACATCATAATATATTTGTCATAGAAGTCAGTGTCTTATTTATAGTCCTTCATTAAGAAACAACATGTATTAGAATATTCGAAATAATTTTCACCTTAAAACACAATTTAAAAAAAAAAAAGTATCGTAGATAATATTGTCATCACTGTTTTAGATGTAGAAAATAGCCACGTCTTACAATTTATCACCACCAAGAGACTTAAGTTTATTTAACTGACAACGGTGGCAGCAATCTGTCAAATAATACAATCTACATCTACTTAACTTGACAGTCTATTAATTTGGATTGAGCCACATCTCTCGGACAACAAAAACTAAAGGGTATTGGCAGTTTGGATCATGTCTTTTCATCTTTAGAGTGTCGACGGTGGAAAGATCTTCTGACGGTGGATTCAACACTTGACTGCCCGGAAAGGTGATGTTCACTCATGAAGACACGGGCCATGTCGTAGTGGATTTTCATCTGACCCAGGATGGACCTGGTCATCTCCACCAAGAAGTCCATCGGCTTGTCCGGTCGGTTCGTGACCAGGTTGTACAGCAAAAACTTTGGGCATTGAAACACAAAAATTAAGTAAAAGCCTTATGTAGTGAACTGTCAATGCATTTTTGTCAGGTAGACAAGATGTCATGGACGTAAGTAGACAGATGTTAGGGACCGAAGCAGACAGATGTAAGGATCCGAAGTAGACAGATGTAAGGAACGGAAGTAGACAGAGGTAAGGGACGAAAGTAGACAGATGTAAGGGACCGAAGTAGACAGATTTAAGCGACGAAAGAAGACAGATATAAGCGACGGAAGCAGACAGATGTAAGCGACGGAAGTAGACAGATGTAAGGGACGGAAGCAGACAGATGTAAGCGACGAAAGTAGACAGATATCAGGGACGTAAGTAGATAGATGTAAGCGACGAAAGTAGACAGATATAAGCGACGGAAGCAGACATATGTAAGCGACGGAAGTAGACAGATGTAAGGGACCGAAGAAGAGAAATGTAAGGGACGGAAGTAGACAGATGTAAGGGACGGAAGTAGACATATGTACGGGTCTAAAGTAGACAGATGTAAGGGACGGAAGTAGATAGATTCAAGCGAAACCGAAAATTAACCGAAAGTTAACTTTTCTGTTTGTGCCAAAACCGAAGTGTTCAAATGGCTATATTTGGCGCCGACAACGAAAGTCCGACCGTTTCTAATTAGAATGCTCTATCTTATGGCCTTTTTGTGCACATACCCCCCCCCCCACCCTTTTTTTTTTCCCCTGTCCTTTTTCATTAACTTGATGAGTACAGTTCCAAAGTTAAATCATTCCCAGTTGCATGGCTATATTTGGCGCCGACAACGAAAGTCCGACCGGTTCTAATTAGAATGCTCTATCTTATGGCCTTTTTGTCCACATACCCCCCCCCCCACCCTTTTTTTTTTCCCCTGTCCTTTTTCATTAACTTGATGAGTACAGTTCCAAAGTTAAATCATTCCCAGTTGCATCTTTGGCCATTTTTTGCCTTTGCCAATTTCTACATGCGATATATTTTTTGTTCCGTTTCCTCCCTCCAGACGAACATATCTGGATCATCTCTCCGGTTATGTGAGAGCCGAGAATACACATGTCTTCCGAAGTTACCTGGAATAGCTCCATTATGCCGAAATGCTCCAAGTAGTGCTTGGTCAGAGTGCGAGGAGACCCCGTGGGCAGTTGGTAGCTGTCAAAGTCGGAGAACGGGTCGCTGTATTTCTTTTCATCTTGAGTCGCCAACTGAAGGAGAAGAGACGCTTGTCTCAATAGGTGGCGTGCTGTCAATCATATCCACGACCCGTTGGGGTGGGCGGTGGGGGAGACACATGGATTCAAAATGAAACGATCTGACCCCTATGTGGGGGCGGGGGGGGGAGGCAGGGACGTCATTTGGGTAGGACAGGGTGGGGGCTTTTGCACCCCACCCCCCCTAAATATGCAGGTTTTTTTAAAGTTGCTGCGTACTTTGGCGTCTCCAGTAATAAACAACTTAACAAGCCGACCAAGTTTTGGTTTTGCTCCCCCACCCCCACCCCCTTCCAGTAAAAAACCTGACATGACGCCCCTATTGGGGGGGGGGGGAGGGAGTTGCAATTCTATTCAAGCACCACATAGCTGGAAAGCTGCACCATTGGCCAGCGGGAGAACAAAGCTAGCGTATGATACTAGGCGCATACAAACACACACATTCCCCTATTTTAAAAAATCGACGAATCTTCTGGAAAACATTCTCCGTTAAATTGGTTTATAAAGTTGTTATTTATAGACACATCTGACCCTCCTGCACAAAAGCTCCTGAAATGCCCCCCCCCCGCCCCCATCCCCGTACCAGTCTCATTGATTTTTTTTTTAAAGGGCAAACAATGTTTAAAAATCAGATCAAGTTCTACTATTGACCTACATTTGTTAGGCTCTACTATTGACCTACATTTATTAGGTTCTACTATTGACCTGCCTTTATCAGGCTCTACTATTGACCTACATTTATCAGGTTCTACTATTGACCTGCCTTTATCAGGTTCTACTATTGACCTACATTTATCAGGTTCTACTATGGACCTACACTTATCAGTCTCGGGATCTTGTCAACCAATGTCGGGAGTCGAGCATTCAAGGGCAGTTTCACGGGCGTGTCCAGATCCCAGCCATCGAACGGCTTCTTCAGCGTGATCCTCGGTCTCGGCTCTGTCACTTCCGGTAGTGGCAGTGACGCACCCGACGCCTCCTTGAGCTGCTTCAAGTACGTCTCTCTCGCCGCCTTCCTGCTCTTGGCCGTGAATAAGTTCTTCCCCTTGATGGGTGGCAAGGAGAGTTTTGACGGACCGCTGGGATCGAAGCTTGCACTGCTTGCCGAGCGGCCGGGCGAGCTGCTAGGGAGGCTCGAGAACACTTCAAAGGAAGTGATGTCGTCGTCTGACTGATAGAGCGAGTCAATCTGGCAACACACAAAATAAGTGAGTCAATCTGGCCACACACAAAATAGAGTCAATCTGGCCACACACAAAATAGAGTCAATCTGGCCACGCACAAAATAAGTGAGCCAATCTGGCCACACACAGAATATTCATATGTAAAAAAAACTTTTTTGGTAGCTTAGCCAGTAAAAAAAAGAACAATGGAAGAAGTTTGGACTTTAAAAACATCATTATTTTAAAGTTCATACAATTTTCAAATTTATGATAAAAACTTGCACAAATGAGAACGGCCCTAGTGTATAGGATTCAGTAGCGTCAATGATGTTGCTTCCAGAAGCGCAGCGAAGGTGGGCGCGCAGGGGTGACAGATTCCCCGGGCGCCAGCTAGTTAGGGGCGCCAAAATGTGCTTTGATAATATTTTATTGATAAAAATAATGGGTTCGAGAATTGAAAAGAGAAAAAAGAAAGTGTGGGGGGGGGGGGTGGGCTTTAAAATGAATCTTGTCCCTGGGCGCGAATCTTGTCCCAGGGTGCCAAACACTCTCGCTACGCCTCTGATTGCTTCCACAATAAAAAAACAACAACAAACCAACACGTGCATTGGCGAAAATGCCAACCGGTAATATAGAGATAAAAGAATGACGCCGTGGTCTGATTGTCCTTTCCCTCTACTTCCTAGGCTAGTGGTATGGAAATACATATTAACCCTTGACTTAGAGGGGCGCAACCCTTAACCTAAAGGCTAGGCGTAGTTTTTTCAAAAAGGGGAGGTGCAGATCTTTACCAAAGGGGAGGTACAGTCATTGCGCAATGTTCGCTGCAAAAAAAAAAAAATGTTTTAAACATAAGATTTAATTTATTTTATGCCTGAGATTTATAACAAAAAAAAACAACAACAAAAAAAAAACAAAAAAATAACTTCTTAGATGAAATACTCGTTCTACAAATGGACGGACGGGCAGGTGGTTTGTTACGTTTTCAGTTGTGCAAGAGGCCAAAGCAATGCACCAGACAGACGCACGTATTCGATACTTACACTCGGGTGTGGGATATCGCTCAAACGGGCCAGCGTTTCCGCGGTGATCTGTAGAGAAAAGAGTGTCACCAAAAACTTACAACCTTGGCTGTACACCGTTGATACATTTCATTGATTTCAGCAATTTATAATTAACGTTAAAAGCACAGGATTTGTAAAATGTTCTTTTAAAATCGTCCCATGGTATTTCTTATTTAAAAATAAATAAAATAAAATAAATAGTCAAAAGCCTTTTTTTTTTCTTTCTTTTTTTTTTTTAATCTCTCTTTTTTTTTCTTTTATTTTGTAAAATGTTCTTTTAAAATCGTCCCATTGTATTTCTTATTTAAAAATAAATAAAATAAAATAAATAGTCAAAAGCCTTTTTTTTTTCTTTCTTTTTTTTTTTTAATCTCTCTTTTTTTTTCATTTATGAAGTCAAATAACTGGTGAGCCTAAGTCTCTTAACTGCCAAATCACATTGAGTTCCTTGTTGTTGGTGAGTTATTATAGATTTATAGTGTTGTTAAGTTATTAGAGATCTACTCTAAAGAGGTCTCAACTGATTTTAGCTGACAGCATCATACCCCCTACCCCAAAACCACCCCCCATCCCCAAATCCATTAAGTGCCGCTTAACATTCCCCCTTCCTCCTAACTTTTAAAAAAACGAATTCAACCAAATGAGAAAAACCCGTTGGGGGACGTCATGCTTGGCTGATAACGTCACAAGCACAGAAGTCCTATGAGGACAAACAAACGACTCCAACAAATAAGACACATTTTTTAGCACTTACATCACTAAACATGCTTCCACTGCTGGCTATCGAGTCAGGAGAGCCCTGGAGTTAAAAAATAAATCACATACGTTTTTTTTATACAAACACCACGTAAGCATCTATGCAATGAGATGTAACAGCTACCAAGTAATGAATAGTAATATTGAAATGTAACGGCTTCAAAAGTTTCTATTACAATTGTTACCCTATGTGTTTGCAATGGATTCAAAACGAAAAAGACCTCACCTCATAAAACCCTAACAAACCTAACCCAAACAAACCTAACCTAATAAACCTAACCTTAAAAACCCTAACCCTAATAAACCTAACCCTAGCAAACCTAACCCTAACAAACCTAACCCTAACAACCCTAATCCTAAAAAACCTAACTCTAAAAATCTAACCCTAACAAAGCTAACCCTTACAAACCTAACCCTAAAAAAACTAACCTTAAAAACCCTACCCTAAAAACCCTAACCCTAACAAAACTAACCCTAAGAACCCTAACCCTAAAACCTTAACCCTAACAACCCTAACCCTAACAAAACAAACTTTAACAAACCTAACACTCACAAACCTAACCCTAAAAATTCTAACCCTAACAAACCTAACCCTAACAAACCTAACCTTAACAACCCTAACAAACCCAAAAATAACAAACCTAACCCTAACAAACCTAACTTAACAAACCTAACCCTAACAAAACTAACCCTAACAAACCTAACCCTAACAAATCTAACCCTAAAAACCCCAACCTTAACAAACCTAACCCTAAAAACCCTAACCCTAACAACCCTAACCCTAACAAAACTAACCTTAAGAAACCTATCCTTAACAAAACTATCCCTAAAAACCCTAACCCTTACAAACCTAACCCTAAGAACCCTAACCCTAAAAACCTTAACCCTAACAACCCTAACCCTCACACAACTAACCTTAACAAACCTAACCCTAAAAACCTAACCCTAAAAATTCTGACCCTAACAAACCTAACCCTAACAAACCTAACCTTAACAACCTTAACAAACCCAACCATAAAAAACCTAACCCTAACAAACCTAACTCTAAAAACCTAATCCTAACAAACCCAACCATAACAAACCTAACCCTAACACACCTAACTCTAAAATACTAACCCTAACAAACCTAACACTCGCAAACCTAACCCTAACAACCCTAGCCCTAACAAATCTAACTCTAACAACCCTAACCCTAACAAACCTAACCCTAACAAACCTAACCCTAACAACCCTAACCCTAACAAACCTAACACAAACAAACATAATCCTAACAAACCTGACACTAACAACCCTAACTCTAACAACCCTAACCCTAAAAACTTAACCTTAACAAACCTAACCCTAACAACCCTAAAAACCCTAACCCTAAAATCCCTAACCCCAAAAACCCTAACCCTATAAACCCTAACCCTAAAAACCCTAACCCTAAAAAGCCTAACCCCAAAAACCCTAACCCTAAAATTCCTAACCCTAAAAACCCTAACCCTAAAAACCCTAACACCAAAAACCCTAACCCTAAAAACCCTAACCCTAAAAACCCTAACCCTAAAAATCCTAACCCTAAAAACCCTAACCCTAAAAACCCTAACCCCAAAAACCCTAACCCTAAAAACCCTAACCCCAAAAACCCTAACCCTAAAAACCCTAACCCCAAAAACCCTAACCCTAAAAACCCTAACCCCAAAAACCCTGACCCCAAAAACCCTAACCCTAAAAACCCTAACCCTAAAAACCCTAACCCCAAAAACCCTAACCCTAAAAACCCTAACCCCAAAAACCCTAACCCTAAAAACCTTAACCCCAAAAACCCTAACCCCAAAAACCCTAACCCTGAAAACATTAACCCTAAAAACCCTAACCCTAAAAACCCTAACCCTAAAAACCCTAACCCCAAAAACCCTAACCCTATAAACCCTAACCCTAAAAACCCTAACTACACCCTAACCCTGAAACCCTTAACCCTAAAAACCCTAACCCTAAAAACCCTAACCCTAAAAACCCTAACCCCAAAAACCCTAACCCTATAAACCCTAACCCTAAAACCCCTAACCTAAAAACCCTCACCCTAAAAACCCAAACCCTAAAAACCCTAATCCTAAAAACCCTAACCCCAAAAACGCTAACCCTAAAAACCCTAACCCCAAAAACCCTAACCCTAAAAACCCTAACCCTAAAAACCCTAACCCCAAAAACCCTAACCCTAAAAACCCTAACCCTAAAAACCCTAACCCTAACCTTAAAAACCCTAACCCTAAAAACCCTAACCCCAAAAACCCTAAACCTAAAAACCCTAACCCTAAAAACCCTAACCCTAACAAAACTAACCCTAAAAACTCTAACAACCCTAATCTTACCGCGCTAACATTAACCCTTACCCTTACATCAATACGAAATCATTCGTTTCTTGAGTAAATTGCAGGAGAATGTAATAAAAAAATATTCTATTTGCTTATAAGTTTTGTGACACGATGATTTATCTATGAATATTCTCAAACGAAAATATATGCAATCGGAGAATCTTTACAAAAAGAAAATAGCTGTCTAAAACGGAGGCCTCTAAGTTGAGCATTTGATTCAGTGTAATGGTAATGGGTTGTCACCCCAAGCGGGCGTCCCCCCCCGCCTCTGTTAATATTGATGGTTGTCTTTGGTTCTATTCTAATAATTGTAACACTTTTTCTTTTACATATCCTCCAAATTTATTCCGTTCTGAACGCTTCTATTTAAAAAAAAAACAACAACAACAAAAAAAAACCCTTTACCAGGCTGGCTGCTGTCTCCGACTTCGACGGTCCAGTTTTTTGTTTTAAAGGCTCAATTTTACGTTCTTACCAAGAAAAGTTTACTTTATGGTATGACGAGCTAGATCATCGGGAAACCATAGTTGGAATCATGGAAACATCGGGCAAATATAGATCGAAATATTGGTCAACCATGGTTGGAAAATATCCCGTGTAACCATAGTTGAAAACAACCCAGGTAATTTTTAATAATTTAGGTTTTCCAGAAGTTAAAGAAAAAGTCGCCTCAGGTATGGATGCGAGTAAATTCAATACACCGTGATTATAAGGAACATACTGAACCAGGATTAGGAAACATATTTAAAAGCAATACATTTCTTTTACATTAAAGAACAACATGGTAATAATTTGATAAGCTAACAAGGTTACCAACCGGCAGATGCCTTTCTTTGCCTTTAAAGCCAGAAGATTTGGGTCCTAGTCCTTGGATGTCCTCGAACACCGTTCGCGTTTTGCCTCGTTTGCCCTCACCCACCTGCCGTTGAGCAGCAATCTTGTCTTCGTCACGTGTCCGTCTAAGTTCTCCCTGTCGTCCGTCACTATCTAAAAGTCTTTGTTTTTCGCGTTTTCCTTCCTTTTTATCGACGCTGGCTAAGCTCGCATCAAGTTTCGCTCGATACAGGCCCTTCCTGCCCGAAACTTCAATTTCGATTTCCGGTGCGCCTTCTCCCTCTCTTGTTCTTTCCCGTCTGCTTTTTACTCGTTGGCTTGATAAACCTTGGTCCATACCCAGATCCAGACCTTGGTCACTGCCCCGATCCTGACCTTGACCCGCCCGTTTTCTCCTCTCCCGGGGAAACTCGACCCCGAAGTCGTCGTCTGAGATGTGCGGTTTGCCTTCTTGAACACTTTGCTTTTCCGCTCTGGGTTTTTTAGTCCGCTCCATAGAACTGACGTCATCACCCAGAGCCTCAGCATGGCGTGCTGGTTTGCCCTGCTTCCGCGAGACCGAGGGGCTCTGGTCATCTTTGCTTTTCTTCCCTCTTGCGATCTTGCCTCTCATAGGCTGGCGTGACAAGTCCTCGTCTTGACCTAGTTGTTCAAGTCTTCCAAAGGATTTCGTCTTTAGATTCACGTCTGAAAGCCTCTCTTCATCTTGGCCCACTTTCCCCTTTGCTATCTTGCCTCTTCTTGGAAAACTTGACATATCTTCCTCTGTATCTAATTTGTCAAGTCTTTCCATTGTTTTGCCATGCTTGCGTGCTGCCGGACGGCTCTCTTCGTGTATGCTTTCTTTCCCCTTTGCGATCTTGCCTCTTCTAGGAGGGCTTGTCGCATATTTCTCTGCGCTTAATTTGCCAAGCCGCTCGAAAGATGTGCTCCTCTCACTCGAGACTGAAGAGCTCTCCTCATCTTCGCCATCTTCCTCTCCTGAGAACCTGCCAGCTCTGCGTGGGCGTGGCGTATATTCCTCCTCCTCTTCACCGCTACCATCTCCCCTTCTTAACGCCGCACTTCTCTTGCTCGCTCCTGGCGTCCTATCAAACTTTCCCCCCCTTCTTGGCTTTGCTGGCTTGCTGGTTCTAGGTGAGCCTGGCGCATCTATGTCGTCAACTAAATTTTCTAACCGTCGCGTATCTGAACTTCTTTTACGCAGTAACGCCGTACTCGTCTTCCGAGCAAACCCTCTCTTTTTTGAAGGCTTGCCCTTTCTAGGTGATGTAACAGCTATTCCCTCTTCACTTATATTTTCGCGTTGTTCCGATTCTTGAATGTCTTTACGTGCGCCGATTGGGCTCTCCTTTTCGATGGCCGATTTCCCCATCGAGAGCTTGCCCCTTTTGGGGGACGTTACAGTATCTACCTCCTCATAAACAATTGTGGGCTTATCTTTTTTGCGTGGTATTGCCGGCTGCTCTTCGTCCATACCAGATTTCCGTAATTTCCCCTTCGACAACTTGCCACGTACAGGCACTCTTGGCGTAACTCCCCTTTCAGTTAATTCTTCATGTCTTCCTATTGGTTTACTGTCTATAGGTGAGATAGAAAGTGTCTCTTCTTTTGCTCCTCCTTTGCCCTTTGGGATCTTGCGTTTTCTAGTAAGGCTTGGCCCATCTTCCTCTTCCCCTAGTTTTTCATGAGGCCCAAATGCCTTACTCCGTTTTCGCGAGGTCGAAAGGCTCTCTTCACCTAAATCCTCTTTCTCCATTGCGGTTACGCCTTTGCGATGTAACCCTCTAATATCGTCCTCTTCCCCTAATTTTTCAAGAGACCCAAACGACTTACTCCGTTTTCGTGAGGTCCTAAGGCCCTCTTCACTTGTTTCCTCTTTCATCGTCGTGGCCATGGCTTTTTGAGGTAAACTTGTCATATCATCCTCCTCCCCGAATTGTTCAGAAGGCCCGAATGACTGACTATGTTTTCGCGAAATCGAAAAGCCCTCTAGACCTGCGTCATCTGTCTCCCCTGCGGTCATGCCTTTTCGAGATAGGCTAGGCACATCTTCCTCTTCATAGAACTTTCTGAGGGTTCCAAATGATTCTCCCCGTTTAAGCGAGTCTGGACGACTCTCTTCGTGCATGCCCTCTTCCTCCTGTGCAGAGGCACCACCGCCAGGTGATGTAACATCATCTAAATATCCTGGAGGTCTTAAAGATTTTTCCCTCTTCAGAGAAGACGGAAAACTTTCTAAGTCGCCTTGTTTTGGTAACAGGCTCCTGTCTATCCTAAACGTGCTCATTGGGATCTCATCCTTCCCCACAGTGGTGGCGTCAAATGAATCTTTCGTACGCCTGCGGCTTGTCGACGCTTGATCCGTCCTGCCCAAGTTGTCCATATGCTTAAGGCTGGATTCTCGTTTGGACAGCTTCTTCAACCTCTGCATGTGATCCTTGATGGAACCGTCCTCAGAGTCGTCGCTAAGCCGCAGCTCTAGGCTTGCCCTCGCTTTCCTTCTGGTCAGTTCGTAGATTTTGGCGTTCAGCTTTTCGGTTTTGACCACGATCTCTGCCTGGGATCTGATTATGGATAACTTATAATTCCTGTCCTCCTCCGTCTCCTCTTCGTCGTCATCGGTGTCAAACGAAATAGGGGTGCGTTTCAGACCGTCCTGTGGTACAGCCAGTGAGAACTTCTTACGGACTTCGGAAACCTTTCTTTCCAAATGCTTTTCCTCCTTTTCAAACTTCTCCAGTTGCTTCGCAGCTATCTGTTTGTAGCGGTTTAGCTGCTCGACAGCCTTCTCCAACCTTCCCATTGATTGCTTCGGCAATTGTCGATCTTCGTCTAAATGTGACAGCTTTTCCAGTGATTTTTTCGGCAATTGTCGATCTTCGTCTAAATGTGACAACTTTTCCAGTGATTTTTTCGGCAATGGTCGATCTTCGTTTAAATGTGACAACTTTTCCAGTGATTTTTTCGGCAACTGTCCATCTTCGTCTAAATGTGACTGCTTTTCCAGTGATTTTTTCGGCAATGGTCGATCTTCGTTTAAATGTGACAACTTTTCCAGTGATTTCTTCGGCAACTGTCGATCTTCGTCTAAATGTGACTGCTTTTCCAGTGATTTTTTCGGCAATTGTCGATCTTCGTCTAAATGTGTCGACTTTTCCAGTGATCTTTTCCGAAATTGTCGACTTTCATCTAAATGTGTCGACTTTTCCAATGATCCTTTCGGCCATTGTCGCTTTTCACCTACATGTGTCGACTTTTCCAGGGATTTTCTTGGCAACTGTCGACTTTCGCCTAAATGTATCGACTTTCTCTCCATCTTGTAGAGATTATCCGACTCTTTCATCGAAATCTTTTTGTAGCTTGTCGGCTCATTGCCTTTGAAGATCGTCATGCGTTTATCTAATTTGTCCATCAGGGCTGATGTCATTTTACCGTCGTAAGACTTGTGGCCCGTTTCCTTGGAGCCCTTGAAGATGACCTCAGAAATATCCGAATCGATGTCCGACGCTCCGGCTTTGGTCGAAGAGGTTTTGCTCCCTTTCGGGCTCGAGAGCGTGCTCACACGGGAGACCGAAGGGATCTCATGTGCCTTTCGCTGGGAACAAATTCACGAAGATGGTTTTAAAACATTATTTGAGTGGATGTCATTAACACCCACGGAAGGACTTCTTGACTATGTTTAAAATTTAAAATTAAACATTTTCATGCTTTTTAACTTGGCTAAATTACATTTAAAAGTTTATCAATCTAAAATGAATGGGAGACCGAAGGGATTTATTGTGCCTTTCGCTGGGAAAAAATTAACGAAGATTGTTTTAAAACATTATTTGAACAGAATTTTGAAAAAAAAAAAAAGAAAAAAAGCAAAAAAAAAAAAAAAAAAAGCATACATTTTATTGCTTTCTTTGAATCCCCGATGCCTTGTGAAACAAGTCGTATCCGGAAATTCGATCAAAAGAAATTTCGTCGACGGTAAATTGATCGACAGTAATTTGATAGAACGTAAATTTGGTCGAATCTTTTTTTCAGTTTTTAGGTTAAAATTTTGCTTTAAATTTCTTTTTGAACACAATATTTTGTTTTACTTGATAGTATAGTGCGTTCAAAAGAAAATTTGACGAAAATTTCAACGCGTTAGCTGAAAAAAAGATTCGACCAAATTTCCATTCGATCAAATTTCCGTCGATCAATTTACCGTCGATGAAATTTCTTTTGATCAAATTTCCGTTAACCGAAACACGTCTATTCTTCAATTAGTTTTCATCAAAGTTGTATCCATACGTAAGCTACACAGGCAAGCACACAGGTAGGCGACACAGATAAACTGAACAGGTAATCTGCACAGGTAAGCTACACAGGTAAGCTACACAGGCAAGCTACACAGGTAAGCTGCACAAGTAAGCTGCACAGGTAAGCTGCACATGTAAGCTACACAGGTAAGCTACACAGGTAAGCGGCACAGGTAAGCCGCACGGGTAAGCTACACAGGTAAGCTACACAGGTAAGCTACACCGGTACCAAAGGGACATAAAAACCCAACGGCAAGCCACTCAATGAAACCTACATGAAGACGATTACACTTTAAAACAAAAACAATACACATTTATTTATAAAACAATAACAACAGCAGCAACAACAAGAGCAACACCATCGACATCATCCAAGTGTAGAGTGCAGTACTATTTTTGCGCCGTATTTATTAAGCGTTTTCTGGCTCCCACAAACATGCGCCATCATCATTTTTGGTTGATCGCCACTCCCCCCCCCCCACCCACCACCCCGCTGTCACATTTCAAAAAAAAAAAAAAAAAAAAAAAAAAAAAAAAAATCAATGTTCAATTCCAAAAGGCCACCACATGTTTAGAAAGACTGTTGAATTGTACAGATAAGTAGAGTCTTACAGTAAAACCAACGCGTCATCAGAATGATGTCAACTTACAATGTCTGTTATGACTGCGCTCCGATACGCCTAAACTTACAATATCTGTGATAATTCCGATGCGCCCATGTATAAAGGTCTAGCCTATACAGCCGAATGCACAAATTGTGATGACGTTATCGCACGAGTTTTATTGACATTGTTGCACACATTCTGAGGACGTTATTGCACACATTCCAATGACGTTGTTGCACACATTCTGGTGATGTTGTTGCACACATACTGATGACGTTATCGCACAAATTCTATTGACATTGTTGCACATATTCTGATGACGTTGTTGCACATATTCTGATGACGTTATGGCGTACAACTTACCTCTAGCTCTTTGTTGATATATTCTTTGATGAAGGGTGACTCCTAAAAAATACATAATACATTAAATTATAATTTGAATTATGACAGGTACCTTAGTTGATTTTAAAAAAAAATGTATTGTCCAAATCTACTGAAAATATTAATGTCTTATTGAAATTTACAAACAAAGTAACTCGATTAAAAATATATAAAAATTGTAGTATTGGCTGTAGAGTCAAAAGTAATCTTGAATTTATAAGAAATCAAATATCAAAAACGAGCATGGTGTATTGAATTAACAATTTTGGATAGTGGACGACCCTTTAGGAATCTAATCTAGATTTTACCGTTGTAAAGTAACGGATATCCTAAGACGTTTGTAAGCAATGATCGGGGTAACACTGTGGATTAACAAATGGGATTATCCAAACTGAATCGAGATGCGAGGGTATCGAATTGACCAGGGGGTGGGGCGAGGGTTTAGAGATAACCAGGGATGACGAACGTTTCATTGGTGTGTCTATGCCTGTGGGTGTTAACTAGGGATAACCAGGGATGACGAGCGTGTCATTGGTGTGTCTATGCCTGTGGGTGTTAACTAGGGATAACTAGGGATGACCGAATTTAAATTTATTTTATTACTAGCCGATATACCCGGCGTAGCCCGGGATTGCATTAGGACCCCCGTCCTGGTGGGATCCCGCTCCCATTGGGACCCCAATCCCATTCTGACAACGATTCCGGTGCGTTCCTGTTTCCCGGTGTAATCCCGATCCCGGTGGATATATTCAAGGTTGGGATTCCGTTTTGTGGTGGGATCCTGATCCCAAGGGGGATAATAATTATGATGGGATCCCGACCCCTTTGCTTTCTATCCAGAATAAAAAAATACTTAGTGGTACGGAGAGAACAGTAAACTGGGGCACAGTATAGAATTAAATCAAACTAACTAAAATTTCAATATTCCCTTAGATCCCAATAAGTATCCCCCTTTTAACAATTTAGAACGTTCTGAAACATTTTAGTTTAAATTTCATAACCTACTCGAAACTTTTCTAATCTTTTTTCAAATACGATAAAAATCTTCAGCAAATACCATAATTTGAATCCTTCTTCTTTTAAGTTAACCAAGGGGCCCCGGGGGCCCATTCCATAAATTTACCGATTTATTTATGCCAGAGATAGGATTCCCTATAAAATAAAATCAGAAAGATAAACAATAAAGTTAAAATTTAAAATTGGTCACATTAAAATCCACTTGAAAATGCCATAGATAGAGCTTTTTAAAATTATCGAATTCTCTGGAAAATTCTAGATTGGATTTAATTAGTTTTGAATCCACCGATGTTTCTATAAGGACAGTGCCGTTTAGTGCTACCAAGCTAGGCATAGATCCATGAATGCACATAGAACGTATAGTGTTGTCTCATCCTATTGCTATTTATATAACTTATATAAGGAAAAATGAAATGGGGCCCCCCGCCCCAGACGAATGGCTATTATGAGTTGATTACCCTTCGGGATTTGAGGATGGATAATCAAGTGTATGTGTACAAAGTTTGGTTAAGATCCATCTATTCATTTATGAGTATTTGTTGTTAATTTTATTTACATAACTCATATAAGGAAAAAAAAAACGACTCTAGGCCCCCGGCCTCAAACGGAATGTTATGAAAAGTTCATAACCACCGGAAAGTTCCTTCCGGATAAAGATGTATATATATGCCAAGTTTGGTCAAGATCCATCAATCCATATAAAAGCCTTTGTGAAACAAACAAACAAATAAACAAATCCACAAACAAATTTTCACTTTTATATATATATAAATAATTACATTTGTTAAAAGTATATCAATGATAGATTCCAAACCTTCAAAACTGCCCTCAACGCCAATCTCTTCAAACTGTACTATACCGACTCATTCTTCACCCCCCCCCCTTCTAGCTGATAAACAATGCTCGATGCTGCTGGGTGCTGTCCCCGGCTAGACAGGGGTAGATAGTACTTGGGTGGGNCCTTTGTGAAACAAACAAACAAATAAACAAATCCACAAACAAATTTTCACTTTTATATATATATAAATAATTACATTTGTTAAAAGTATATCAATGATAGATTCCAAACCTTCAAAACTGCCCTCAACCCCAATCCCTTCAAACTGTACTATACCGACTCATTCTTCCCCCCCCCCCCCTTCTAGCTGATAAACAATGCTCGATGCTGCTGGGTGCTGTCCACGGCTAGACAGGGGTAGATAGTACTTGGGTGGGTGCTGTCCACGGCTAGACAGGGGTAGATAGTACTTGGGTGGGTGCTGTCCACGGCTAGACAGGGGTAGATTGTACTTGGGTGGGTGCTGTCTACGGCTAGACAGGGGTAGATAGTACTTGGGTGGGTGCTGTCCACGGCTAGACAGGGGTAGATAGTACTTGGGTGGCTGAGGTCAAGCTGTTTACCAATTATTGTTTTTACATATATAATTTTCTGTAATTGCTAATTTGTATGTGAAGCGCAGTGAGCTGAGCCGTACCATGCTTTATGCAACTACATTGTTGATAATAATTATTATCATATTAAGCGAAATGATAGTTTCCGCTGATGAACTGGCTCAGCAAAATGATAGATTCTGCTGATGAACTGGCTCAGCAAAATGATAGATTCTGCTGATGAACTGGCTCAGCAAAATGATAGATTCTGCTGATGAACTGGCTCAGCAAAATGATAGATTCTGCTGATGAACTGGCTCAGGCAAAATGATAGTTTCCGCTGATGAACTGGCTCAGCAAAATGATAGATTCTGCTGATGAACTGGCTCAGCAAAATGATAGATTCTGCTGATGAACTGGCTCAGGCAAAATGATAGATTCTGCTGATGAACTGGCTCAGGCAAAATGATAGATTCTGCTGATGAACTGGCTCAGCAAAATGATAGATTCTGCTGATGAACTGGCTCAGCAAAATGATAGATTCTGCTGATGAACTGGCTCAGCCAAATAACACATTCTGCTGATGAACTGGCTCAGCAAAATTGACCCATTCTGCTGATGAACTGGTTAATTCAAATGCCAACATTAAATTGAATCTGCCCACTATGTCCTAGCTAAGACACTATCTCGAATACGCAATTAGTTATCGTTTAATACATTAACAAGTTACGAACGCTTCACTTACGAAGCAATGAAAATGTTTAAAGATTTTGGTCATTATACAGGAAGAAGGTGTAGGATGATATTTAACTGAGGGACCTCCTTTAGGCCTTGTCTCAAATTTTCCTATTTCGGGCCTTATTTCAAATCTTGCTATTTCAGGCCTTATCTAAATCTTTCTATTTCGGGCCTTATTTCAAATCTTTCTATTTCAGGCCTTATCTAAATCTTTCTATTTCAGGCCTTATCTTAGTCTTTCTATTTCAGGCCTTGTCTCAAATTTTCCTATTTCGGGCCTTATTTCAAATCTTGCTATTTCAGGCCTTATCTAAATCTTTCTATTTCGGGCCTTATTTCAAATCTTTCTATTTCAGGCCTTATCTAAATCTTTCTATTTCAGGCCTTATCTTAGTCTTTCTATTTCAGGCCTTATCTTAGTCTTTCTATTTCAGGCCTTATCTAAATCTTTCTATTTCAGGCCTTATCTAAATCTTTCTATTTCAGGCCTTATCTAAATCTTTCTATTTCAGGCCTTATCTAAATCTTTCTATTTCAGGCCTTATCTTCTTTCTATTTCAGGCCTTATCTAAATCTTTCTATTTCAGGCCTTATCTAAATCTTTCTATTTCAGGCCTTATCTAAATCTTTCTATTTCAGGCCTTATCTAAATCTTTCTATTTCAGGCCTTATCTTAGTCTTCCTTATATATTGTTCGTCCGTCGAGGATCGACGAGGACCACCGAGTCGTCTGGTGACTGATGACTTGCGCGGGTGACTTTGTTTTAAAGTGAAGAAGAGTTGCGCGGCGTCTACCTCACTCTCTCGTCCGAGCCAACTATATCCAGTGGCAAGACTCTACGTCAAGACGACGAGGGATGGGTTCGGTTGCAGGAATGGTCATTGTTTGCGCCTCACGGGACTCCAACTCCGGGTTTGAATTCAGAGTTTCCTTCTCTTAGGTGAGTTGCCGACCAAGGTTAACGAGTCTCATCCACCCGGGGTGATGTTTTTGCTTGACTGGCCTTTGGTTGGACTTGAACATCAGACCACCAACTTGGGTGACTGGGTGGCCAAATGGTCTAAACTGAGTCTTCCTACTTCAGGCGTTATCCCAAACTGTCTATTTCAGGCCCAATCCCAGCCTTCCTATTTCAGGCCTATTCGCACTCTTTATGTCTCATAATCTTAAATCTATTCAAAACAAAAAGAATTAATTGAGAAATGTTGGTACATACCTCTTGATTGGCATCGTCCCATCGTCCAGTGAACCATTTAGAAACTACAACAGATAGACATGAGAAATACAGTGGGGGTATTATTTACTATTTAGAAACTACAACAAATAGACATGAGAAATACAGTGGGGTATCATTTAACATTTAGAAAGTACAGCAGATAGACACTAGAAATACAGTGGGGTATCATTTACCATTTAGAAACTACAGCAGATAGACATGAGAAATACAGACAGTGGGGTATCATTTACCATTTAGAAACCATAGCAGATAGACATGAGAAATACAGTGGGGTATCATGTACCATTTAGAAACTACAGCAGATAGACATGAGAAATACAGTGGAATGTCATTTACCATTTAGAAACTACAGCAGATAGACATGAGAAATACAGTGGGGTATCATGTACCATTTAGAAACTACAGCAGATAGACATGAGAAATACAGTGGAATGTCATTTACCATTTAGAAACTACAGCAGATAGACATGAGAAATACAGTGGAATGTCATTTACCATTTAGAAACTACAGCAGATAGACATGAGAAATACAGTGGAATGTCATTTACCATTTAGAAACTACAGCAGATAGACATGAGAAATACAGTGGAATGTCATTTACCATTTAGAAACTACATCAATTATACATAGAGAAATACAGAGGTGTATCATGCTCCATGATGTCGGTTTGCATTATGTTAGACATAACAGATGGAAAGAACAATACGCCTCTTGCAAGGCGCAAACTATGGGGTTATTCACGTAGTGTTTACGCTAAGGATGTGTGCACCAGTAGGATGTGTACAAGCAGGGTGTGCTCCAGTAGGATGTGTACAAGCAGGGTGTGCACCAGTTGGGTATGTACAAGCGGGCTGTGCACCCATTGGATGTATACAAGCAGGGTGTGCACCAGGAGGATGTGTACAAGCAGGGTGTGCACCAGTAGGGTGTGTACAAGTAAAGTATGTACAGTCGGGGGTATACAAGTTGATGCATAGAAATAGCATGTGTACATGTAAGGTGCATATATAAATGTAATCAAACTCTGCATCATTACAACAATACACCAAAATATATCTATAAGTGTACCGTAGGCTGAAGGTAAAGTGAAAAAAGAACCTTTAAAAACAATCTATTTCTCCTTAAGTACAATTCACAAACTAATCCAATATGAACGTATCCCAAATAACGCCAACCACTCACTCACATAAACGTATCCCCAAGGCGCCCACCACTCACTCACATAAACGTATCCCCAAGGCACCCACCACTCACTCACATAAAAGTATCACCAAGGCGCCCACCACTCACTCACATTAAAGTATCCCCAAGGCGCCCACCACTCACTCACATAAAAGTATTACCAAGGCGCCCACCACTCACTCACATAAAAGTATCACCAAGGCGCCCACAACTCACTCACATAAAAGTGTCACCAAGGCGCCACCACGCACTCACATAAAAGTATCCCCAAGGCGCCACCACTCACTCACATAAAAGTATCACCAAGGCGCCACCACTCACTCACATAAAGGTATCACCAAGGCGCCACCACTTACTCACATAAAAGTATCAACAAGGCGCCACCACTCACTCACATAAAGGTATCGCCAAGGCGCCACCACTTACTCACATTAAAGTATCCCCAAGGCGCCCACCACTCACCCACACCAAGGTATCATTAAATGCTCCACAGACTCACCCACATAAAGGTCTTACCAAAGGCGCCCCCACACTCACCCACAGAAAGGTATCATTGAAGGCTCCACAGACTCACCCACATAAACGTATTACCAAAGGCGTCCCCACACTCACCCACATAAAGGTATTACCAAAGGCGTCCCCACACTCACCCACACTCACTTTTATCACTAAAAGTTGACAAAAAGAGAAAACTTAAACACAATGGGACAGAGCACTGATATCCACAGTGCACAAACAGAGTTTCCAAGCTCTAATTCACAAACTACAGAGAAAACTCCTTTTTGAGTGTTACATAAGAAATACTGACAAAACTCGTAGCCAAAGGCTACAACCGTGAACTGAACAAATACTAGGTGAATTACGTGGCTCAGGTTTGTTCAGGCTAGTAGCAGAAATATTTTCCATGGCCTTCCGTTCATTTTTATCTTGGATCTTTCGATCCAACTTCCATAGGTTCTGTAGAGTTTTGGCCGCAAGGTACAGCTGTGGGACCGCTTTTGGCATGCCAGTCTTCTCACCCAGGAAGGATCGTCTCTTGATAGTTTCCCATGACTTGAGGCTGCGACGGGGTTGTCCCTGGGAGCTGTCCTCTGCAGGAACGGACATTTCTGTCGGGGAAAAAAAACAACATAATATGGGACACAGCTCATATTACAATAATAGTATTAAAACTATCGCCATTACCACCAGGAGAACACCACCAAAGCCGCTGCCACCAAGAAACTACACCGCCCCTACTACCATGTAACATCCCATCCCCCAACTTAACTCCACAACTACAATCAGGTAACATCAGCGCCAAAAAAAAAAATAAAACACGCTACACCACCACCATATCACCAGGAAACAACACCACTACCACCTCGCAGCAACACCACCACCAGAAAACACCGCTACCACCAGATATCCTCAATATCATCATGTAACATTACCACCAGGAAACACCACTACAGCTTCGTAACGCCATTACTACTAGGTTACATCACCACAACCAGGAAGCACCACCACTACCACCAGGTAACACCACTACTACCAGGCAAAACATCTAATAAAAGGTAACAAAACCACCAGGTACCACTGCCACCAGGTAACACCACCAACACCACAACACCAAGGTAACACCACCACTACCGCAAGGTACCACCCCTACTACCAGGTAAATCCCCTACCACCAGGTAACACCTTACCATAAGGTAAAACCACCACCACCAGGTAATGCCACTACTACCATGTAGCTCCACCACTGCCACCAGGTAACACCATTACCACCAGGTAACACCACTACCACCAGAAACACCAATACCACCAGGTAACGCCACTACTACCATGTAGCACCATCACTGCCACAAGGCAACACCACTACCACTAAGTAACACCACTACCACCAGAAACACCACTACCACTAGGTAAAACCACCACCATCACGAAACACCACACTACCACAACCACAAATAGCTATATTCTTTGTCACTTAATTCCTTTGCTTGTCCCATGAGTCGAAGTCTTGCTGCTAGTGCTGCTTCTGTCTGAGGATGTAATCAAACATTTCACGTTAGATCATATTTTCTAGTTTCAACCTTCAAACAAAATCCCACAAACTAACTTTTAAGTGGACATTGACAGATGGTATTGAGACTTCAACACTTTTAAAATTGACCTGTTTTATTAAATGATCCTCCCCCCCCCCCCCTTTTTTTAACTCATTTGTTTTATCTCAGTGAGATGACGTCGGTGATTTTGACGTCTATGATATGGCGTCAGTGAGATTGCGTCGATGATATAACGTCGGTGATATGACATCAGTGAGATTGCATCGGTGAAATGGCGTTGGTGAAATGTCGTCAGTGAAATGGCGTCGGTTATATGTCGTCTGTGATATGGCGTCGGTGATATGACGTCGGGGAATCTTACAGATCCTTTAATCAATTCTGAAACTGTAAAATAGCAAAACATAAAAAACAAAAAAATTTGATATGAAATACCTGATCCTTTGAAAATCTCCTCATCAACATTTTCTACTTCGATCGACAACTTGAGTGGGACAATTCCATCCTGGAAAATCTGGACATTTTCTGGATGGAACAAAAATAAGGAATGGAAAGAAACGTATTTGTAAACCAAACCTGACTGCTCTCTGGCAAGCATTTGATAACAAGAAGTCCACCCATGAAAAGATGTATCCCACGACAAGAAGTCCCTCAAGACAAGAAGTCCCTCAAGACGGATACCTCAATGATACCACCTTCCACTAGAGCAGTGTCAAAAGAGGCTTTTCAATGATACCACCTTCCACTAGAGCGGTGTCAAAAGAGGCTTTTCAACGATACCACCTTCCACTAGAGCAGTGTCAAAAGAGGCTTTTCAATGTTACCACCTTCCACTAGAGCAGTGTCAAAAGAGGCTTTTCAACGATACCACCTTCCACTAGAGCAGTGTCAAAAGAGGCTTTTCAACGATACCACCTTCCACTAGAGCAGTGTCAAAAGAGGCTTTTCAATGTTAGGTGGAAGGTGATCTCGTCACAGTTTTCTCCGAAAAGAACGATACCACCTTCCACTAGAGCAGTGTCAAAAGAGGCTTTTCAATGTTACCACCTTCCACTAGAGCAGTGTCAAAAGAGGCTTTTCAATGTTACCACCTTCCACTAGAGCAGTGTCAAAGAGGCTTTTCAATGTTACCACCTTCCACTAGAGCAGTGTCAAAAGAGGCTTTTCAACGATACCACCTTCAACTAGAGCAGTGTCAAAAGAGCCTTTTCAATGTTACCACCTTCCACTAGAGCAGTGTCAAAAGAGGCTTTTCAACGATACCACCTTCCACTAGAGCAGTGTCAAAAGAGGCTTTTCAACGATACCACCTTCCACTAGAGCGGTGTCAAAAGAGGCTTTTCAACGTTACCACCTTCCACTAGAGCGGTGTCAAAAGAGGCTTTTCAACGATACCACCTTCCACTAGAGCAGTGTCAAAAGAGGCTTTTCAACGATACCACCTTCCACTAGAGCAGTGTCAAAAGAGGCTTTTCAACGTTACCACCTTCCACTAGAGCAGTGTCAAAAGAGCCTTTTCAACGATACCACCTTCCACTAGAGCAGTGTCAAAAGAGGCTTTTCAACGATACCACCTTCCACTAGAGCAGTGTCAAAAGAGGCTTTTCAACGTTACCACCTTCCACTAGAGCAGTGTCAAAAGAGGCTTTTCAACGTTACCACCTTCCACTAGAGCAGTGTCAAAAGAGGCTTTTCAACGATACCACCTTCCACTAGAGCAGTGTCAAAAGAGCCTTTTCAATGTTACCACCTTCCACTAGAGCGGTGTCAAAAGAGGCTTTTCAGCGATACCACCTTCCACTAGAGCGGTGTCAAAAGAGCAAAAACCAGCAGCGGGGCCATTACACCGTTTTTGAGAGCCAAATTTCTTTTCAAGAACCCGTCAAGAACCATGTTTTTTCGGAGTCAAAACCGATTTGTGGCCGACTGGCTGAGCCACACTCAACATGCGGCCCGCGAGCTGCGATGTGCCGACCACTGCACAAGGAGACTAAAACTTCGCCCAAAGAGATTGTGAGTGCTTTATGCGCGGTCTTTAAAATCGGCAGCGCGTTATTCCTCAGTGTTTGCAACATGCAGGTGACGTCACTGGTTGGTGAAATATAACTCAGATGTATCGAAAATATCTGCCACATTGGCAATAGCTTTCTGTAAAAATCTTATTAATGACGGATAGCTGGCAGGAATCTTTGCAACATAGGCCAGGAGTCTTCTTCTCATTCAGGGTTTCTTTCAGCTATATCTCGGGAGGGGGGGGCACTACCCACGGGAAAAACTAAGTGCCCCCCCAGATCAAAAATATGTCCAACAATAAACCAACTGGCTCTGCCCCCCCCCCTTCCCAAAAATCTGAAGTCCCCCCCCCCCAAAACCCTTAGGTAAAATAGGAAAGAAACACTGTTCTCATTGACTCTACTTTACAACAGCAAATACATCTAATGTTGATAAAACTGCTTTATTTGACCAATTTATTCGACATATTTAGAAGGAAGTGGAAGTTTTTTTGACGCAATTGATTCAATAAAATATGAGGAGAGTGACTGTTTATTTAACCAAATTAATTCAACCACATGATGAGATAGTGAAGGTTTATTTGATTTATTGATTCAACCATATATAGAGAAAAGTGAGTTTTTATTTGACGTATTGATGCGATCAGATTTAAAGAAACTGAATGTTTATTTGACGCATTGATTTAACCACATATACAGAAAATGAATGTTGATTTGACCTATTGATCTAATCACGTATAAAGAAAGTAAATGTTTATTTGACCTCTCGATTTAACAACATTTCAAGAAACTGATTGCTGATTTGATCTCTTGATTCTACCATATGTAAAGAAAGTGAATGTCTATTTGACATAATGATTTAATCACGTATAATGAAAGTGAACGTTTGTTTGACCCCTCGATTCAACCGCATTTAAAGAAACTGGTTTTATTTGACCCAATGATTCAAAGCCACACAAAAGAAGAGAACATATTTTATTTAAATTACCAGATTCTCTGGCGCACTCTCTGTCAGAGGAGGGGGAGGACGATCCAGCATGAGACAAGCGAGTTGTCACATTTTGAAGGTGGGTACCTACTGCACCTTTGACTGGGAATAAAATAAACCTATATAGTTAGTTGTAAGCTACACGTAATAGTTACTTACGAGCTACACGTATTCGTTTCTTAAGTGCTACATGTAATAGTTACTTACATGCTATATGTATTAGTTACTTACATGCTACAGTATTAGTTACTTACATGCTACACGTATTAGTTACTTACATGCTACACGTATTAGTTACTTACTTGATACACGTATTAATTACGTACATGCTAAACGTATTACTTACTTACATGCTACATGTATTTGTTACTTACAAGGTACACGTATTAGTTACGTACATGATACACTTATTAGTTACTTACATGGTACATGTATTAGTTGCTTACATGCTACACGTATTAGTTACTTACATACTACATATATTAGTTACTTACATGCTACACGTATTAGTTACTTACATACTACATATATTAGTTACTTACATGATACACGTATTAGTTACTTACATGCTACAAGTATTAGTTATTTACATGATACACGCATTAGTTACTTACATGCTACATGTATTAGTCACTTACATGCTACACGTATTAGTTACGTACATGATACACGTATTAGTTACTTACATGCTACATGTATTAGTTACTTACATGCTACATGTATTAGTTACTTACAAGATACACGTATAAGTTACTTACATGCTACATGATACACGTATTAGTTACTTACATGCTACACGTATTAGTTATTTACATGATACACGCATTAGTTACTTACCTGCTACATGTATTAGTTACTTACATGCTACACGTATTAGTTACTTACATGATACACATATTAGTTACTTACATGCTACATGTATTACTTACTTACATGCTACATGTATTAGTTACTTACATGCTACACGTATTAGTTATTTACATGATTCACTTATAAGTTACTTACATGCTACTTGTATTAGTTATTTACATGATTCACTTATAAGTTACTTACATGCTACTTGTATTAGTTATTTACATAATACACGTAATGGTTACTTACATACGACACGTATTAGTTACGTACATGCTACACGTATTAGTTACGTACATGATACACCTATTAGTTACTTACATGCTACACGTATAAGTTACTGACATGATATACGTATACCTTACTTACATGCTACATGTATTAGTTACTTACATGCTACATGTATTAGTTACTTACATACTAAACGTATTAGTTACTTACATGCTACATATATTAGTTACTTACATGCTACACGTATTAGTTACTTACATGCTACACGTATTAGTTACTTACATGTTCCACGACTTACATGGTACACATATTAGTTACTTACATGTTACATGTATTAGTTATTTACATGCTACACGTATTAGTTACTTACATGTTCCATGACTTACATGTTACACATATTAGTTATTTACATGCTACATTTATTAGTTACTTACATGCTACACGTGTTAGTTACGTACATGATACACGTATTAGGTACATACATGTTACACATATTAGTTATTTACATGCTACATGTATTAGTTACTTACATGTTATACGTGTTAGTTACGTACATGATACACGTATTAGTTACGTACATGATACACGTGTAAGTTAATTACATGCTACATTTATTAGTTACTTACATGTTCCACGTATTTGTTACTTACATGGTATTTGTTACTTACATGCTACACGTATTAGTTACATACATGGTACACGTATAAGTTACTTACATGTTACTTATTAGTTACATGCATTAGTTACTTACATGTTCCACGTATTTGTTACTTACATGCTACACGTATTAGTTACTTAAATGCTACACGTATTTGTTAATTACATGCTAAACTTATAAGTTACTTACATGCTACATGTATTAGTTACTTACATGTTCCACGACTTACATGCTACATATATTAGTTACTTACATGCTACATGTATTAGTTACTTACATGCTACACGTATTATTTACGTACATGCTACATGTATTAGTTACTTACATGCTAAACGTATTAGTTACTTACATGCTACACGTATTAGTTACGTACATCATACACGTATAAGTTACTTACATGCTACACGTATTAGTTACTTACATGCTACACGTATTAGTAACTTACATGCTACACATATTAGTTACTTATATGCTACACGTATTAGTTACTTACATGCTACATATATTAGTTACCTTATATGCTACACGTATAAGTTACTTACATGCTACACGTATTTGTTACGTACATGATACACGTATAAATTACTTATATGCTACATGTAATAGTTACTTACATGATACACGTATAAGTTACTTACATGATACATGTATAAGTTACGTACATGCTACATTTATTAGTTACTTAAATGCTACACGTAATAGTTACTTACATGTGACACTTATTAGTTACGTACATGCTACACGTATTAGTTACGTACATGATACACGTATTAGTTACTTACATGCTACACGTATTAGTTACTGACATGATATACGTATACCTTACTTACATGCTACTTGTATTAGTTACTTACATGCTACATGTATTAGTTACTTACATGCTAAATGTATTAGTTACTTACATGTTTCACGACTTACATGCTACATATATTAGTTACTTACATGCTACATGTATTAGTTACTTACATGTTACACGTATTAGTTACTTACATGTTCCATGACTTACATGTTACACATATTAGTTATTTACATGCTACATGTATTAGTTACTTACATGTTCTACGTGTTAGTTACGTACATGATACACGTATTAGTTACGTACATGATACACGTATAAGTTAATTACATGCTACATGTATTAGTTACTTACATGTTCCACGTATTTGTTACTTACATGCTACACGTATTAGTTACGTACATGGTACACGTATAAGTTACTTACATGTTACTTATTAGTTACATGCATTAGTTACTTACATGTTCCATGTATTTGTTACTTACATGCTACACGTATTAGTTACTTAAATGCTACACGTATTAGTTAATTACATGCTAAACTTATAAGTTACTTACATGCTACATGTATTAGTTACTTACATGTTCCACGACTTACATGCTACACATATTAGCTACTTACATGCTACATGTATTAGTTACTTACATGCTAAACGTATTAGTTACTTACATGCTACACGTATTAGTTACGTACATCATACACGTATAAGTTACTTACATGCTACACGTATTAGTTACTTACATGCTACACATATTAGTTACTTATATGCTACACATATTAGTTACTTATATGCTACACGTATTAGTTACTTACATGCTACACATATTAGTTACTTATATGCTACACATATTAGTTACTTATGTGCTACACGTATAAGTTACTTACATGCTACAAGTATTAGTTACTTACATGCTAAACGTATTAGTTACTTACATGCTACACGTATTAGTTACGTACATCACACACGTATAAGTTACTTACATGCTACAGGTATTAGTTACTTACATGCTACACGTATTAGTAACTTACATGCTACACATATTAGTTACTTATATGCTACACGTATTAGTTTCTTTACATGCTACATGTATTAGTTACCTTATATACTACACGTATAAGTTACTTACATGCTACACGTATTAGTTACGTACATGATACACGTATAAATTACTTACATGCTACATGTAATAGTTACTTACAAGATACACGTATAAGTTACTTACATGATACATGTATAAGTTACTTACATGCTTCATTTATTAGTTACTTAAATGCTACACGTAATAGTTACTTACATGCGACACTTATTAGTTACGTACATGCTACACGTATTAGTTACGTACATGATACACGTATTAGTTTCTTACATGCTACACGTATTAGTTACTGACATGATATACGTATACCTTACTTACATGCTACTTGTATTAGTTACTTACATGCTACATGTATTAGTTTTTTACATGCTACACGTATTCGTTACGAACATGATACACGTATTAGTTACTTTTATGCTAAACGAATTAGTTACTTACATGCTACAAGTATTAGTTACTGACATGTTACACGACTTACATGCTACATATATTAGTTACTTACATCCTACATGTATTAGTTACTTACATGCTACACGTATTAGTTACTTACATGCTACAGTATTAGTTACTTACATGTTACACGTATTAGTTACTTACATGTTCCACGACTTAAATGTTACACATATTAGTTACTTACATGCTACATGTATTAGTTATTTACATGCTACACGTATTAGTTACTTACATGCTACATGTATTAGTTACTGACATGTTACACGACTTACATGCTACACGTTTAGTTACTTACATGCTACATGTATTAGCTACTTACATGCTACACGTATTAGTTACGTACATGATAGACATATTAGTTACTTTTATGCTAAACGAATTAGTTACTTACATGCTATAAGTATTAGTTACTGACATGTTACACGACTTACATGCTACATATATTAGTTACTTACATCCTACATGTATTAGTTACTTACATGCTACACGTATTAGTTACTTACATGCTACATGTATTAGTTTCTGTAAATGCTACACGTATTAGTTACTTACATGCTACACGTATTAGTTACTTACATGCTACACGTGTTAGTTACTTACATGCTACACGTATTAGTTGCGTACATGATAGACGTATAAATTACTTACATGCTACATGTATTAGTTACTTACATGCTACACGTATTAGTTACTTACGTGCTACATGTATTAGTTACTTTTATGCTACATGTATTAGTTACTTACATGCCACATATATGAGTTACTTAAATGCTACATGTATTATTTACTTAATGCTACATGTATTAGTTACTTACATGCTACATGTTTTATTTACTTACATGCTACACGCATTACTTATTTACACGCTACACGTATTAGATACTTACATGCTACATGTATTAGTTACTTACATGCTACATGTATTAGTTACTTACATGCTACACGTATTAGTTACTTACATGCTACATGTATTAGATGCTTTCATGTTACACGACTTACATGCTACACGTATTAGTTACGTACATGATACACGTATAAGTTACTTACATGCTACATGTATTAGTTACTTACATGCTTCACATATGAGTATCTTACGTGCTACATGTATTAGTTACTTATATGCTACATATATTAGTTACTTACACGCTACATGTATTAGCTACTTACATGCTACACGTATTAGTTACTTACATGATACACGTATATAATAGTTACATAATCCACGTATATAAATTGTTATATGATAGACATATATCGTTAGTTTCATTATACTCCTATTAGTTAGTTACATGATACATGTATATAGTTAGTTTCATGATACACATATAAAGTTAGTTACATGATATACGTATTAGTTACATGATACACGTATTAGTTACATTGATACAAGTATTAATTACATGATACACCTGTATAGATAGTTGCACGATACACGTATATGGTTAGTTACATGATTCACGTATTAGTTAGTTTACATGATACATATATAGTTAGTTATATGATGCATGAATTAGCTAGTTACATAATGAACCTATATACTTAGTTACATACTCAGAAAAACTAGATGCCATTACACGGCAATGAACAAAGAAAATGAACTTAATTTTATTTATTATTTTTCTGCCAATAACCCCTCCGAACATATGAAGTGGGGACATCACCGAAACAATACACATGGTCACCAGGGGCGTCAGTATCATACTAGCCACGGAACACCAGCGACTTTCGAGTTTTTATGGTTGTCTGTGCATTGTGGACTTAAATTAATAGATTGATTGTGAACGTTCACTAAGCCAATGCTTATGAACTTACACTCAGCCAATTATTATGGACTTACACTCAGACAATGATTATGGACTTACACTCAGCCAATGATTATAAACTTACACTCAGCCAATGATTATGAACTTACACTCAGCCAATGATTATGGACTTACACTCAGCCAATGATTATAAACTTACACTCAGCCAATGATTATGAACTTACACTCAGCCAATGATTATGGACTTACACTCGACCAATGATTATAAACTTACACTCAGCCAATGATTATGAACTTACACTGAGACAATGATTATGATTTTACACTCAGCCAATGAGTATGAACTTACACTCAGCCAATGATTATGAACTTACACTCAGCCAATGATTATGAACTTACACTCAGCCAATGATTATGAACTTACACTCAGCCAATAATTATGAACTTACACTCAGCCAATGATTATGAACTTACACTCAGCCAATGATTATGAACTTACACTCAGCCAATGATTATGAACTTACACTGAGACAATGATTATGAACTTACACTCAGCCAATGATTATGAACTTACAATCAGCCAATGATTTTGGACTTACACTGAGACAATGCTTTTGGACTTACATTTAGACAATGATTATGGACTTTTTTGAGACAATGATCATAAACTTACTTTGAGACAATGATTATGGTCATATTTTTAGATATTGATTATGTACTAATTAAGTTGCAGTTGAAAGTCAATAAAATGGAATATACTGACAAAGATTTTTAAAAAAATATTCAAACCCTTTGTCACGGCGTATACACTATAAACATAAGATTTACATCATCAAATACAGTCATATTCCGTTGGTATGATAAGAAACCTTACCTTTCTTCCCTTGTTGACTCAACTCTTTTCTCTGTTCTTTCCCTCCTGAATCTGACGCAATGGAAGATCGTCTTTCTGAAATAAATATGGATACAACTAACAACAATAAACGAAACGATGTTATATTTTCACCACATACCTCCACCACCACATCCAACTTATTTTCATCGCAACTTCAACCCCCTACCAAAACCCGTTAGCTTCACCCAATTCTTTACCACTGCCTCCCCTCCCCCAAACCTCCACTGCCTACCCTAACCCACTACCTTCCTCATCCCCAATATGCTCCCTCTCCTTCAACGTCGACCCGCAACTCCACCCTTATCTCCAACAGCTACCTCCACCATTACCTCCACCCCCAACCTCCACCACTACCTCCACTGCTACCTCCAGCACTACCCCCGACCCTTACATCTACCCCTTACATCAACAACTGGATTCACCTCCTACCTCCACCCCCGATCTCCATCCATTACCTCCACCACCTTCCTCCACCACTACCTCCACCCCTTACCTCCACCACTACGCAACCCTGCCCAAGTGACATATCAAGTTAGTTACATAATGCACGTGTGTCCACCATGAAATATGTAGATATTTATTTACATACTACAAATTCAAGATCATTTTATTCAGCAATGCACAATTGAAAGTAAATTTGATCAATTTTGGCATGCACCCCTCTCAATGAGACGATGGTGTGGTTTCTCGTGACTGTTAACATATAAAGCTCTGATCTCAAGATTGAACATAGCGTTAATGGAGTGATGAAATGTTAACTAATGAGCGTTTTTACCTGTGAATAACGCATTATTGCTTATGAGAAAGAAGACTTGTGAATTAAAAATAAAGGTGAAAGGTTAACATTTGGAACTTTTGAAATCACTATCAGTTAACCTTTATGAGAGCTCCCCCCCCCCCCAATTGCATTTCCTTGCCGTTTAAAGGCAGTCCTATGAAACGAATTTTTAGAGGTCACTGAATCGCATGTTAAGAAAATCCTCACTGACTCCCTGAAAAAGTCATGTTTGTTTGACCCTCTTCCGGCAAGGATGCTGTACGAATGTTTAGATGAAATGGTCCCTATCATAACTATTGTCATAAATCAGTCTTTAAAATCTGGTATTGTTCCATCTTCTTTTAAAGAGGCAGTTGTAACTCTACTGCTAGATGCATCAAATAAGCTGATGTCTGCATTAGTGCTATCACGCAGGGACTACTGAATTGCTCTTATGGTGGGTCTTCCAGCTAGGCTCCTAGATAAAATGAAAAAAGCACAGAATAAGGCGGCTCGCATTGTTCTTCGCAAACAAAAATTCGACCATGCTAAAACACTTCTGAGAGAGTTGCATTGGCTGCCGGTCCGCTCTCGCATAGAGTACAAAATCGCAACTTTGTGCTACCGCTGCATGCATGACCTGGCACTATCCTATCTCAAAGAGCTGCTGACGCCTTATGTACCCACTAGACAACTCCGCTCATCTGATAGTGGCTAACTCTCGATACCACGTGTTCGCCTTGAGACTTACGAGGGACGCACTTTCGTATTTGCTGGCCCAACAATTTGGAACACTCTTCCCGTTGCTCTCAGAAACAGCCAGTCACTGGGAGTCTTTCAAAACAGATCTGAAGACATATCTGTTTCGCAAACACCTGCTGGGATGATGTTGTCTATCTAACTATTATCTTGTTGATGTGTATTGGCCTGTGTTGTTTAGGGTTGTTAGGTATGAAAGACTTAGACTAGGTATTCTTGTATATAGTTTTTGCATTGCTGCATTTTGTATTTCAATGTGGTATATGATAGATTGTTTCATTTCTCTTTTAATATACTAAACTCTGTACCGCGCTTTAAGCCTTGGGGATGAAGCGTGGTTTTCAGATCAACTTTATTATTTTTATTATATTTAATTTTAACTATTGATGCTTTGATCTGGGGTAGAAGAAGAATACATCACGATAAGCTAGGGATGACTCTAGGTCAAGATAAGTCATTAATGACTTTGGGTAATGATAAGTCATTTATGACTCTAGTCATTTAGCCATGGTCACCATTGAGATTACTGGGAGAAAGTACACTGTATGTCGCGTTATGGTCAGGTTGATGTAAAAACAACAACAAGGAAATCGAGTCCCCATAGATTGCTAAACATATGAATGGCGCGAGATTACCGTGCAACAGTTTGGCGTTGGATGTGTGTGAAATATCGTACAGTTATAAGACTAAACAAAACACGTTCTTCAATCACAGTGATTGGGGGGAATTGTTATGGACTTACATCGAGACAATCGTTATTAATTTAAATTGAGAGAAGGATTATTGATCAATAAAGTTGCAGTTGAAAGTTTATAAATGGGAATTTTGTCATCCCAAATTATCATTCCACAAAAAAAAAAAAAAAAAAAAAAAAAAAAAAAAAAAAAAAAAAAAACAAAAAAAAAAAAAAAAAAAAAAAAAAAAAAAAAACAAAAATATTGATCAATAAAGTTGCATTTGAAATTTTAAAAATGGGAATTTTGTCATCCAAAATTATCATCCCACAAAAAAAAAAAAAAAAAAAAAAACACAAAAAACAACAACATCTCTATGTTGAGGCGTGTACGCTATAAAATACGTTTCACAATATAAAATAAATTCATACTCTCCATTCCGTTGGTTTGATAACAAAACTTCACCTTTTCTCAGGTCTGGATCAATTTCTTTTCGACTTTCTTTCTCTGCTACATCTGACGCAAAGGAAGCTATTCGTTCTGATATAAATAAACATAAAATGAATAAAGAATACTGTAAAGAAATTTATGGACTTTTTTAAAATTATAAATTAAAAAAGTAATGAAAGAAGAAAAAAAAAGGAGACCAAACTTTAATATTACATGAATGTATGTCATGAAGTCATTTGAAACATCCATGTTCCACGCATCGATATATAGCTTTTCTCCACCCACCCCCAGCCTCCACCATGACCTTTGCCACCAACCGAATCCCTTACCCTCACCACTAAGTCCAACACTATTTCAATCCTGTACCTACACCCCTATCAGCTCCCGAAACTCCAACCCCTACATCCAACACTTCCTCAATCCCTACTTCCACTCCTATCTCACTACTTTTCCTGTACTCCTACGTCCAGCCCTACCCCCACCCTCTTCATTCCAACCCATACCTCCACCCTAATACCAACTACTACTTCAACCCCTTACCCCCCCCTTATGTCAACCCTACCTCCACCCCTTCAACACCCATACCACAGCCACTTCCTCCTTCCCTAATTCCACTCTACACCCCACTACTTAAACTAACATTCACTTCACTGGTAGTTCCATCACTACTTCCACACCTACATCCACCCCTTGCCTCAACCGCTGGATTACGGATTTACAGCGAGACAATGATTACAGACTTACAGCCAGACAGTGATTACAGACTTACAGCTAGACAGTGATTACGGACTTAAGGCGAGACAATTATAAGGGACTTTATAGCAAGACAATGATACCGACTTACTGCGAGACAATAATTACGGACTTACAGCCAGACAATGATTACAAACTTACAGCGAGACAATGATTACAGACTTACAGCCAGACAATGATTACAGACTTAAAGCGAGACAATGATAATAAACTTACAGCCAGACAATGATTACAGACTTACAGCGAGACAATGATTACAGACTTACAGCCAGACAATGATTACAGACTTACAGCGAGACAATGATTACAGATTTACAGCGAGACAATGATAACGAACTAAAGCCAGATAACGATTAGAGACTTACAGCGAGACAATGATTACGGACTTACAGTGAGACAATGATTACAAACTTAAAGTGAGACAATGATTACAGACTTACCGCAAGTCAATGATTACAGACTTACAGCCAGACAATGAGTACAGACTTACAGCGAGACAATGATTACAGACTTAGAGCGAGACAATGATTAAAGACTTACTGCGAGACAATGATTACGGACCTACTGCGAGACAATGATTCCGGACTTACAACCAGACAATGATTACATACTTACAGTCAGACACAGTTAACACACTTACAGCAAGACAATGATTACAGACTTACTGCGAGACGATGATTACGGACTTACAACCAGACAAGGATTATGAACTTACAACCAGACAATGATTACAGACTTACAGCCAGACACTGATTACACACTTACAGCGAGACAATGATTACAGACTTACAGCGAGACAATGATTCCGGACTTACAACCAGACAATGATTACAGACTAACAGCCAGACAATGATTGCAGACTTACAGCGAGACATTGATTACAGACTTACAACCAGACAATGATTACGAACTTACGACCAGACAATTATTACAGACTTACAGCCAGACACTGATTACACACTTACAGCAAGACAATGATTACAGACTTACAGCGAGACAAGGATTACAGACTTACAGCAAGACAATTATTACAGACTTACAGCGAGACAATGATTCTGGACTTACAACCAGACAATGATTACGAACTTACGACCAGACAATGATTACAGACTTACAGCCAGACACTGATTACACACTTACAGCAAGACAATGATTACAGACTTTCAGCGAGACAAGGATTACAGACTTACAGCAAGACAATGATTACAGACTTACAGCGAAACAATGATTCCGGAATTACAACTAGACAATGATTACAGACTTACAGCCAGACAATGATTACATACTTACTGCGAGACAATGATTACGGACTTACAACCGGACAATGATTACGAACTTACAACTAGACAATGATAACAGACTTACAGCCAGACACTGATTACAGACTTACAGCGAGACAATGATTACAGACTTACAGCGAGACATTGATTCCGGACTTACAACCAGACAATGATTACAGACTTTCAGCCAGACAGTGATTACTGACTTACAACCAGACAATGATTACGGACTTACTGCGAGACAATGATTACGCACTTACAACCAGACAAGGATTACAATGGTTACGGACTTACAACCAGACAAGGATTACAATGGTTACGGACTTACAACCCGACTATGATTACAGACTTACAGCGAGACAATGATTACAGACTTACTGCGGGACAATGATTACGGACTTACTGCGAGACAATGATTACGGACTTACAACCAGACAAGGATTACAATGATTACAGACTTACAGCCAGACAATGATTACAGACTTACAGCGAGACAATGATTACAAACTTACTGCGAGACAATGATTATGAACTTACAACCAGACAAGGATTACAATGGTTACGGACTTACAACCAGACAATGATTACAATGATTACAGACTTACAGCCAGACAAGGATTACAATGGTTACGGACGAATTAAGCAGCAATTGAAACATTGTGCCGACAATTTTTGAATCCCATTTTTCCATTCCCCTTAAAAAAAAAAAAGCCAAAAGCGGTAATTAAAATAACATATGATTTCATTTATAAAATAAAAAAAAATATACTCTATGTTGAGGCGTGTACGCTATAAAACACGTTTGACAATATATAATAAATTTATACTCTACATTCCGTTGATTTGATAACAAAACTTTACCTCTTCTCAGGTCTTGATAAGATTCTTTTCGACTTTGTTTCCCTGTTAAATCTGACGCAAAGGAAGCTGTTCTTGCTAAGCAAATATACATAAAACATATAAAAATGATTTTTGATGTATTTATGGCCGTTATTTAAAATTATAAATAAAAACGTAATAAAAGAAAAAAAAAACGGGGACCAAAACTTAGTAGGACATGAATGTATGTCATGAAGTCAGTAGGACATGAATGTATGTCATGAAGTCAGTAGGACATGAATGTATGTCATGAAGTCAGTAGGACATGAATGTATGTCATGAAGTCAGTAGGACATGAATGTATGTCATGAAGTCAGTAGGACATGAATGTATGTCATGAAGTCAGTAGGACATGAATGTATGTCATGAAGTCAGTTGAAATATTCTTGTTCCAGGCCTCGATATATCAAGCTTTCCTCCACCCACCTCTACCTCCATCCCATGCCTCCGACACCACCTACACCCCTTTCCCCCCAACCCTACCTTAAGAACTACCTCCAACCCATACCTCCTTCCCTACCTACACCTCCTTCTACCACCATTCCCTCTACCGCTATCTCCATCACTACCTCCCTGCCCTGCATCCACACGTTACCTCAACCACTGGTTTATGTGTTGACAGTGAGACAATGATTACGGTCTTATCAAGTCGCTATTGAAAGTCTACGCTGATAACTTTGATGTCCCATTTTACTTTTCCCCCTTAAAAAATACCCCCCATAGAAACCACCACATTTTTAAAATTAAAATAGCGTATGATTTCAATTATAGCATGTAAAAAAAAAAAAAATCAAACTCCTTGTTTAGGCGGGTACGAAATAAAAATACGTTTCACAATATAAAATAAATTCATACTCTCCATTCCGTTGGTTTGATAACAAAACTTCACCTTTTCTCAGGTCTTGATAAGATTCTCTTCGACTTGGTTTCTCTGCTACATCTGACGCAAAGGAAGCTTTTCGTTCTGATATAAATAAACATAAAAGGAATAAAGAAAACTGTTAAGGTATTTATGGAAGTTATTTAAAATTATAAATAAAAAACGTAATGAAAGAAAATGCATTAGCATAAACGTACTACAATTAAAAAGAATTTAAAGGTATTTATCGCCCTTATTTAAATTTATAAATAAAAAACGTAATAAAATACGAGACGGAGACTAAATTATAATAATGAAAAGACTTCAAATTAGAGACCAACTTAGTAGGGTATGAATTTCTGTCATGAAATCAGTTGAAATACACTCATTGTTCCAGGCTTCAATATATAGATTTCCACTACCCTCCATACCATGCCTCCACCACTACCTCCACCCCTACATCTGCCACTAAGACACCCTAACCCCATCCCTACCCCACCCCATTTAACCTCCCTCTTTATCCGCTACTACCTCCACCCCTTTTCTTCAAATTCTACGACACCATGCCGCCTATCCTTACCCCCAGCCCCCCCCCTTTTACCACGCCCCCCCCAAACAAAAATAATTAAAAACAAAATTCATTGAATCCAGTGCTGATTTATTCAATGTTTTGGTGTTTTTAAAAATACTTCTAATGCGTTTAGCATTGATTTATTTATAGGCAGCGGGAAACACAGTTCATGTATTGATCCTCTATAAATAATTTCACCTGAATCTTTGCGTTGTAAATGATCGCTACACATGGATCCTTTGCTGGAGAAAGATGTGTCAGTCACGTCAGATCCTAGCCAATGAGAGGAACACAACGGAGAGATTATCAATGTAGCAGTGCGAACTTAGGGATTTGTTTACTATGGGCAAGTGCAAAAAATTCCTCAAATTTAACAATATAAAAAAAATTTATCAGCCATCCACGTGTTGACTAGTTTTAAGCCGTCTCAGAAGAAATTTGGTGTTCTATTAATTTTGAATTACAAATGCGAATGACGCAGCTATAAAATTAACATTTTGTTTCAAGTTATAACAGTTTATTATAAATTATATGAAAGCCTACTTTACTTAAACTGAAGTTCTAATAATCGTCGGGCTTGTTATAAAAAATATAGTTTGTTGATTTCGAGGTAGCACGGATCCCTTGCCTAAGTATGATTTTTAAAAATAAACAGGCTACCGAAAAAATGTATAAAAGGTCTCTTGCTTTTTTTTTAGTGAATCTATTGATAAATATGCTTTTCTTGCTTGCGCAGAAGCGAAATTCTGATTTGTTTTTGGTCACATGCGAATCTTGTGCAATCTTTCTCTCTCTTGAGACACATTTAAATACATCTTTCCTTCTAATGTGTTTCCAGTAATTTAATCTTCGACAGGTTTTCTCTCAGGACTCACAATAGTTCCTGGGAGAATTGGAAATTGTTTTGTAAGACAATAAGCTACCACAGTCATCTGACAGAACGTCCAACTAATATCTGGGGGCTTGTATCATCCTGTTATTCTTTAGATAAAGTAAAGAGCTCATCACACAGTTCTGATACACTGATATCAACTCAATCTTCTACATTGATACCAACTCAACTTGCTACATTGAAATCAATTCAACCTGCAACATTGATATCAACTCATTTTGCTATATTGATATCACCTCAATCTGCTACATTAATATCAACTCAATTTGCTACATTGATATTAACTCAATACACTACATTGTTATCAACTCAACCTGTTTCATTGATCTCAACTCAGTTTGCTACATTGGTATCAACTCAAGCTGCTACATTGATATGAAGTAAATTTGCTCCATTGATATCAACTCAAACTGTTACATTGATATCAACTCATTTTGCTACATTGATGTCAACTTAACCTGCTAGATTGATTTCAATTCAACCTGCTAGATTGATATCAACTCAACCTGCTAGATTGATATCAACTAAACCAGCTTCAATTGATGTCACCTCAATTTCCTGTACTGATATAAACTGAAGCATTTATGTCAGCTCAATATTTTTGTTTAGATGCTGGAGTTAATTAGATATTTATGGTCCACGCATCTGTGAACATATACTTGTTATGAAATTTCTGTACGTTTCTACGGTCAAACAAACATACAAATTACTCAGAGTGGGATGTCAACTATAAACTCACAATGAGATGATTTTATTAATGTTTAACAGTGAGATGTTTACCAAAGACCCAAAGTGGGGTGTTAGCTATTGACCCATTATGAGAAGTTAACGATTGACCCATAGTGAAATGTTAACAAAAACACTTCACACTACCTTTTCGACTGTGTGACATGGGTAAGGAGCTCTTTCTGGACGATTTGTCTGAAAAAGAATAAAACTAAAAATGCTATTCCCCATTGCTTTCATTAATGAGCGTGGTTTTCATTTACATGTGTGAGAGATGGGGGCCGGGGGCTGGGAGGGTGGCGTGGAGTTGGGTGGAAAGGGCGTTAGTAAATATTTTCAAAACGACAATTTTGCAGGTGTATATAATCTTTTTCAAAGTAATTATTTTATCTGACAATTTTAATTTAGTATATTTAACACAAAAAACTAATGACATAATTAAATACATTAATTAAATATTAGTTCTAACATTGAAATATTATTTCTAACATTGAAATATTCGTTCTAATATTGAAATATTCGTTCTAACATTTAAATATTAGTTCTAACATTAAAATATTAGTTCTGACATTGAAATATTAGTTCTATCATTGAAATATTCCTTCTAACATTGAAATATTAGTTCTAACATTGAAATATTAGTTCTAACATTGAAATATTAGTTCTAACATTGAAATATTACTTCTGATATTGAATTATTAGTTCTGACATTGAAATTTTAGTTCTAACATTGAAATATTCGTTCTAAGATTGAAATATTCGTTCTAAGATTGAAATATTCGTTCTAACATTGAGATATTCGTTCTAACATTGAAATATTCGTTCTCATATTGAAATATTCGTTCTAACATTGAAATATTCGTTCTAACATTGAAATATTCGTTCTAACATTGAAATATTAGTTCTAACATTGAAATATTTGTTCTAACATTGAAATATTCGTTCTAACATTGAAATATTCGTTCTAACATTGAAATATTCGTTCTAACATTGAAATATTCGTTCTAACATTGACATATTAGTTCTAAAATTGAAATATTCGCTCTAACATTGAAATATTCGTTCTAACCTTGAAATATTCTTTCTAACATTGAAATATTCGTTCTAACATTGAATATTAGATCTAACATTGAGATATTCGTTCTAACATTGAAATATTCGTTCTAACATTGAAATATTCGTTCTAACATTGAAATATTCGTTCTAACATTGAAATATTCGTTCTAACATTGAAATATTCGTTCTAACATTGAAATATTAGTTCTAACATTGAAATATTAGTTCTGACATTGAAATATTAGTTCTAACATTGAAATATTCGTTGTAACATTGAAATATTAGTTCTAACATTGAAATATTCGATCTAACATTGAGATATTCGTTCTAACATTTAAATATTCGTTCTAACATTGAAATATTCGTTCTAAAATTGAAATTGTAGTTCTAACATTTAAATATTCGTTCTAACATTGAAATATTAGTTCTAACATTGAAATATTTGTTCTAACATTGAAATATTAGTTCTATCATTGAAATATTCTTTCTAACATTGAAATATAAGTTGTAATCAATTAAATATTAGTTCTAACAATTAAATATTATCTATCTCAATGAAATATTAGTTGCAACCTAACAACTAAATACTAATACTGAGATGTAACTAATGACTAACAGCGAATTTTTGAAACTTTTTTACTCCCACTGGTATGTTAACTAATGACCAGCAGTGAGATGTCAACTATTGACTCAGTGTGAGAAGTTAACAATTGGCCCACAGCGAGGAGTTAACAATTGACCCACAGTGAGAAGTTAACAATTGAACCACATTGAGAGGTTAACACTTGACCCACATTGAGAGGTAAACAATTGACCCACTGTGGGAGATTAACAACTGACCCACAGTGAGTAGTTAACAATTTAACCATAGTGATACGTTAACAACTGACCCACAGTGAGAGGTTAACAATTGACCCACATTGAGAGGTTAACAATTGCCCCACCGTGGGAGATTAACAATTGACCCACAGTGAGTAGTTAACAATTAAACCACAGTGGAAGGTTAACAAATAACCCACAGTGAGAAGTTAACAAACGGCCCTTCATTATTACCTTTTTGACTGTGTGACGAGTGTAACGAGCTCCTCCTGGACGATTTGTCTGAAACAGAAAACAACTAACAATGGTAAATCCCACTCCAAAAAAACAACATTTTCTTCATTTATAAAGAGGGCTTCTTCCAGTGTTTCAGGGGTGAGTTCAGTGATCATTTCAGAAACTTTCCCCCAGGGGATCACTATAGATTTTTCAGGGGGTGGGGGGCAGTGCCAGTTGATTTATTGTTGGACTTATTTTTGCCCCGGGGGGCACTTGGCTTTCCCCGGGGGGATAATGCCCTCCCCCGGAGATATAATTGAAAGAAACCCTGGGTGGGGTAGGCGCTGGGCCTTAGTGTAAATTTCTGATGAGGACAATTCAACACCTGTATCTAATTTTTTTTTTTTTTTTGAAGTAACACTTTTATTTTACACTCTCTTTTTTTAAATTTCGTATATAAAAAAAAATGTAAAAAAAAATAAAAGACGGCCCCTCTATATTACCTTTTTTACTTAAATTTCTGATGAGGACAATTCAACACCTGTATCTAATTTTTTTTTTTTTTGAAGTAACACTTTTATTTTACACTCTCTATTTTTAAATTTCGTATATAAAAAAAAATGTAAAAAAAAATAAAAGACGGCCCTTCTATATTACCTTTTTGACTGTGTGACGAGTGTAACGAGCTCCTCCTGGACGATTTATCTGAAACAGAAAACAACTAACAATGGTAAATCCCACCCCAAAAAAACACCATTTTCTTCATTTATAAAGA